AAACCCCTCAGCCTTGTACTTTGTAATTTCTTCCTTGTATGTGGGGAAGGAATATTGGCCTTTTGTCTTGTTTTCTTTCAAAACATGGGATTCTGTCATACTTGCGCACACAAGATCACAAATATTATTCCAAAAAAGAAAAAAAGAAAAGATCACAAATATTATTCCCAGAGAAAAAGTGACGATGGTGAAAGACCTTCTGCCTGATAATATTAATATAGGATGAAAATTAGTATTAGGTCCCCCATATTTCAAGCAGTTTTCATTCTTGCCCCCATATGTTCTTTTCTAGATTTGTGCCTACTCTCTGATAAAAATATAAAGTATTTTTAACTAAATCTTACCTCCATAAAGTAGTAATTTGTTTTCAAATTAACATCATCTTTTTATATTTATTCATATTTAATAAGGTGTTTTACTTTAAATTAAATATAAAGTGATTTATTTATTAGGAAGCTTAAAAAAAACAGTTATTACACTTTAAAATATTAAAACTGTCTTACATATTTAAACATTCAATATCTTAAAAAATGTAATGACAAAGGTCTTTCAACATAAAAAATGAGAATCCAAGAGAAATTCGTGAGATAACCCTGAAACTATTAAAGATAAATTATTTTAAAAATGGTTTTAGCACTCTCTCTCTCTCTCTCTCTCTATATATATATATATATCAATTTAATCTAATTCTCTCCATCTCTATTTCTTTCTCTTTTTTTAATAATTCAGTTTTATTTACTTAATATTCTTTTTATAAAGACAGATGACTTACTGAAAATATATGACAAAAGGATAAAATTAAATATTTTAAGAAAACAAAATGACAAATTTATCTGCCTCATATTTAATATTTTTTTATAATTCAAATATCTCACAAAAAAATAAATGAACAAAGATTAAATGTTATATATATATATGGATTTTTTTAAACTAGAATTCATATGGGAGAATTTTATTTAAGGATCATTGTAAGAAGTTATTTTCCAATCAAACTCAATAAACTTTGAAAATACATTGCAGGGTATGAGTACCTAACTGAAATTATCTCTCTCCGCAAAATGACCAAAAGGCCCAAATGCTTAAACAAAAAGAATAAACTTTGGATAACTTCTAACAACATGCACAAAGACATCATCAGAAGCGATTTGCATAAATGGAAGGCGATTGCTTGAGGAATTTTCTTGACGACCTTCCATCATCAGAGGCTTCTTTGAGTTGCTTGCTTTGTCGCCTCACATTTTGATTGCCTTTGAATTTTTCACTTCCAAAAGGTACATCTAAAACGGCTGTGCTTGCCATTTTGGGCAACAATAGATCCTTAGGAGGATTGACCACTTGCAACGGTGATTCTTCTTTTGCAATGGGTTGCTATCTTATGAATGTATGTGATATGTAAATTTTTGAAGGCACTTGAAGGCATATTGGCACAAGTACTAGCATGAATTTTTCTATGAAGTCTGTAAATATTACTTGTTAATAATGTTACATGACTTGTTTCTTGCTTTATGTTACTTGTTAAAATTGTTACATGAAATTATAGATATTGTGAATTTTTCTTAATTTTAGTTGTTAATTCTTGAACTTTACTTATTAATTTTGTGATGAGAATTGTTAAATCCTGAACCTGTATACATTGAACTACGTTACTTATTAATTTCTTAACAAGACTTGTTAACTTTTTAACTCTACTTAACTCATAAACTCAATTACATTATTTGTTAATTCTTAACAAAGACTTGATAATTTTTTTTTAACTTTACTTGTTTATTCTTGAACTCAAAAAATCAATAGCTATTAATTCCTTAATTCTTGATAATTTTTTAACTTCACTTGTTAATTATTTAACTCGAAAACTCAACTACACTGCTTGTTAATTCCTTAATAAAATTTGTTAATTTCTTAACATAACTCGTTAATTTTTTAATTTCTCAACTACATTACTTGTAAAATCAATGTGGTGAGTTACTTGTTCAATTAATTATATGACTTGTTAAATGCATAATGTTACTTGTTGATTCTCCATCATTACTTGTTCAACATCTAACTTGTAATAAATCCATTACTTGTCAAATTATTATCTTAAATTATAAAATACCCCCTCTAATCCTATTTATAAGAAGCCTCCTAGAAAATATTTTTGATCCAAAATATATGATACCTTATAATAATTAAACTATTTTTTTCAATTTTACCTCTTTTTTTATTAGCATGATGTTATTTAACCTTGTTGTATTATTATTTAAAGCCAAGGGCACAAATGAGAATACATCTCACTTTTTTGTGATATTAAGAAAAAAATAATTTTTTTAATATAGGTGAAAAGGTTGAAAGTGTTTTATAATAAGAACATGAAAGATTACATAATATTATTTGTTAAACAAATAACATTACTTTATAAGTGTCTGACATCACTTGTCAAATAGGTAATTTAAACATAAAAAGAGCATAAATGCATTTTAGCACAAGGAACATTTGCTATTAATTTACATTCCATTTGTAATTACGAAAAGGAGAACATCAAAATGATGCATGCTTCCAAAGCACAAATTCTCTACTTCCCCAACCAATCAGAAAACTGAGAAAAATGTTTAGTTTGATTATCTTATTAGCATTGAACCAAGTCACAAATTTACAATTACAACTATCATATTTACAACATAACATAATCATTTTACGACTCAAAACCCTTTTGTCTTATCTTCTTTACCTATGGGGAGAGCGTGTTCGCCTGATTGACAAGGTAGCTTGCTTACTTATAAGATAAAAAAGCAAATGAGTGCTAAATTGAGATATAGACAGTGTTCCGTTAGGTCTCTTTCATTGAAACTAGGAAAGGATTCAAGTTAAAAGTGTGCTGTGATGGTCTAACTATAAGTAAGCTTCATTGTGCTCCTTATCATTTAGGTTACTAACAAAACTTTCCCTATGGTCAAGCAAGCTCTCACTTATTTTCTCCTTCTTTTTCTTTGTGAAGATAAACTGTTGTTTATTGCTTTGCGTGTCAAGCGTGAGATTGGCATTAAGGAATTGTGTCTGAAAGGTTATCTATATGAGACTATCTATCTAGTATGATTGATCAAGTCATTCATTTGTTTTGGACAACATAACTTAATACCATAAATGTCAATAACTACCTAGTATGATCGATCAAGTCATTCAGTTGTTTTGGACAGCACAACTTAATACCATAAATGTCAATAATCTTCATCCAGCCATCTATTTTGCAATGTCATGTAATAGTTTTAACAAGTAACATAAAGCAATAAACAAGTCATGTAACATTATTAACAAGTAACATTTACAGACTTTACAAAAAATTCATGCTAGTACTTGTATCAATATACCATTACGTACCTTCATAAACTTGCACATCAAATACATTCATAAGATAGCAACCCATTACAAAAGAAAAAAAATATTTTGGTTGTGTACTTGTACACAAGAGCTGCTTCCTCAATCAAAAAATCTAAGGACAATGTTCAATTCAACTACCTTATCAACACTAAACCAAGCTACAAATTTACAACTACAATTATCATATTTACAACATAACATTAAGGATTTTACAACACAACATACAATTGTTCTAGACAGCACAACTTAATATCATGAATGTCTAGAACCCTCACCCGGCCATCTATTTTGCAATTCTAATGTCAAATGTTTCAAAGTAAAAATTACATCACAAAAAACCCAATCTAACATAGCAAGATAGGACGAAGACAAAACTACCTCCTGTTTTGGTTACAAAGAAGAGGAAAAAGAAGAAGAATCGCCACCACAAGTGGTCAATCTTTCTAAGGATCCACTGTTGCCCGAAATGGTAGGCACAACTATTTCAAAGATACAATACCCTTCAGAAGTGAAAAATTCAGAGGCAGTCAGAATCCAAGGCGACAAAGCGAGCAACTGGAAGAAACCTCTGATAATGGAAAGTCGTCAAGCAAATGCCTCAAGCAAGTGCCTTCCACTTCCACAAATCGCTTCTGATGATGTCTTTGTATAGGTCGTGTGAAGTTCGTGAGAGCTTATTCTTTCTGTTTAAACATTTGGGTAATTTCAATTAGGTGCTCATATCTTGCGGTGTCCTACAATAGTCCTTACATGAAATTCTCTCAATTCATATTCAATATGTTTGAATATTTATTTAATAACTAGAGTCTAGCAATCTCTTGATGGCATAGAGTGATTAACATTGACAGTGCTTTTTCTTCACTCTGCTTTCTCCTTACTGTCCCCCTTGTAGCTCTCTCTCTCTCTGTGCGCCAACCGATGAGGACACTGGAGGCAGCGATTGTCACGAAAGCAGTGTTGTCAAATGTCAACTCCTCTACTAGTTTTGGCCCCAAAAAACCCAAAAAAAAAAAAAAACTCAACTAATTAGTGAATAGACAGGCATGCCCTCAAGGCCTGCACTGCTTCATCATTCAACTTGAGACAATCCTTCCTTCCCTTTTCAACTCCGCCACTGCCGCATGCACTCCTTCAAAATACTAGTCCTTCTTTTTCAGACGACATGGCACGCAAACATCATCCATATTTGCTATCCATCACACACGGTACTAACAATCTCATCTGAATTGCACAACACTCACATTGCTTCCACATGACGCTTGTCATTCCTCAGGCTGCTCCCTCACACTTCCCTTGGGTTAATTTAAATGTCAGCTATCAGGCTTTCCATTACAGCAGTTATCGTATTTCCTGCCAGTTTTACTCACATGACACAAGCAATCATGTTGATTCGGTCTCAACAAAATTTGTAAGTCCACCTAGTTTTTTATTTAAATAAAAAAAATCATAAAATGTATACAAGCTTGTCAAAACTAAACTCAGCAGATATACACATAGAAACGCTCTTTCGTTGATGGCTGGTACAAGCTTCCAGTAGATCAGGTCTACCAAAAACTTTCACTGTCCACAAAAAATAAACGAGCCTAGTCAACAATGAATTAACTTGTAAACACGTCCACACGCCTAAGATAGACTCAGAAAAGAAATGGTTCAAGATCTTCAATTATTTTCCTTTATCTTTCTCTGCACCATGTCTATCAAAGAATTTTTCCAGAATATGAATTGAGCATGCATGAATTTAAGAATGTTAAAAACACATAGGAAGTAAAAATTCCCAGCAGTCAGTGCATTTAATGGCCGCGACCTTCTCAGTGTTGTCTCCATTTTACAAGAGAAGCACGTCTTTCCTAAAAAACCATCTATCTAGCAACAAGTAAACCAATTTTACTCGCTTCTGAATGCGTCGAACCAGCTTCATTGACTAAATACATTGCATTCCACCAAAAAAAGTGTTCTCATAGCAAGCCCGGGTTACCAAATGGATTGTTGTTATTTTGTGAGTGAGAAACAGGATTCACAGGAAACGCCCCATATCCTGCATCCCCAAAAGGATTTGCAGGGCTCGTCAACAGATGCTGCTGCTGCTGCGGCTGTGGCTGAGGCTGATAAGGCTGGTATGGACCAAATGGATTTGCTTGCTGCTGAGCCATCGCTGCCATTTGGACAGCAGGAGGAGGAGGGATGCTGCTTGAGAAAGCAAATGGATCTTGCACCTCAAATGGATTTGGAGCCGGTGCTCCATACACTGGCTGCTGCGATCTGTATGCTGCTTCGTCATATAAGCTGTTAAGAGTGAGCGAGTCCATTCCACCAGCCTGACATTCAATGAAAAACACATTGTTGAAACAGCCAAGGGAAGGATATGATGCTCTCATCACTAAACAGTACACATGATCTCCATTTTAGCATCAATCAAATCAATTTTTTGAAAGGAAATCAATCATTAACAAGAATTACTTGCTAGTGCTATAATAATGATAAGAAAAAGTAATACTTAATGTACATGCCACCCATGCAGGAACGGGAGGCAACCCCACCAAATTCGCTTCTTAAAACTACTCTACATTGGAAATAAGTCAAGGCTGCAAGCTTAAAACAAACCTACTAGATAGAGCCTAACATCATAGCAAAAAGAATATGCAATTTCGTTTTTTTCCAGCCATAGATTTTATCCCGCACAAACTCATTCCATAGTGAAATATTCAGTTTAATATTGCACCAATTTCAGTTGATTTATATTAAAAGCCTAGAAAGGACATCGGAGGACTCACCAACTGCCTTTCATTGACTGAAGAAATATTGCTACTCGGAGTGGAAACCAAAGCAAGCTCCCATCCAGTTGGATCAAAATCGTTCGCTTGGGTGGTATTAGATTCAAAACCTGATGTTGCGCCTAATATGAACAAAATAGTCACATTAGTTAGGCGACCAAAATTCCACCAAACCATCCCACATAGCAGAATTTGCAGAAAAACCATAAAAGCCAATAAAAATATAACCATTTTCAGTGGGTACTATGGCTAGGGCAAGAGCATTTCTTTCCTCTATTGATGATGCATCAGGTAGAGTGTCATTCAAACCCTGCAAACAGGATAGGACAAGGTAAATACACTAGAGGAATGACCTGGAATGTTAAAACAAGAGACTTACCAGTAAGTCTCCAGTGTCAAAATTATTCTGAGATGGAAGTGGCGGAGGAGGAACAATATCAGAATTGGAGACAACATCATCCGCAGGAACTGATGGCTCCTCCTCTTCAACAGATACTTTACTGTCTTCAGTTGTTAGAACTTCTTCCTCCGGTCTGTATGTCAACTGAAGCTGTAGATAAAGAACAAGAATGAGTTTTGCAGAGCTTAATTCTAAAGGCAATATTGCAGTGAGAAATATAAATTAATGGTATCTGGTCAATGTTAACAAAAGCCATAATATTCAAACACTACATAATGAGGAAAATGCGACAATTATGCTCTCTAAACATAATATGTAATGTACTAACCAATGGCTCAGTAGGCACTGTCACCACTCGTGGAGCCTCTCTTATGTACTCATCCATGGTTGTCAGAAAAGATTGAGGAGGCTGAAAAGGCCAATGCAATGATTGGAACAAAATGAGAAATAAATTGGAACTTGTGAAATCAAAGAATGAAGTCACTGCAACAAAATCACATACCTCTCTTAGGACAGGAAACTGAAAATTCCTAGCAAGTTCCAAACCTCTGCATACTTCATAGAAATCAGATAAATTTGCTGCCTGTACCAACTCAAACTATTCAATACAATGTCTTCGAAAATTAAATTGCATAAGCATTGCACTTTGTTGTGCAAAACTATAGCGTGCAACATGTTGGATAACATCATCATCATCATAATAGTTATAGTAATAGCCACCTGCTGGCCAGCACGTTTATAGATATCAAGGGCTTTGACAGCTTCATGTCTCGGCATCTCGAAAAACTACAAGGTAACAAAGAGATAATTACAATCCAATAAAATGAATGCATAATTGCATATAATACTAAAACTTTGAGAATTATTTTATACATAACCTCAACACAGTTTACCTTATCAACAAGATTGATGATTCCATCATTAACAGCACAATAAATCTTAAAGCTCTCTTTCAGTACCTGAGATGCACATAAAACCCATATCAATAGCAGATACAAGCAATGTAAAAGGAAATAATAACTATTAACTTATATACCTTCAACAATAACTAAAGATGTAACAAAAATGAAAAGTTATAAACATCTCACAAACCACAAGCATGATAAAAAAATTGCAACAAAATCTTTAAGAGAGCATCAAATTTAAAACTACCAACAAGGGACCCTCACCCTTTAAACACATATACAAATTATCAGCATAACTGCTGTCTCAATCCTAAACAACATACTTAAACACATGATTGAAACTTAATTCCAACAATGAAAAGAACCCAATGTAAATATTCCCAGTCCAACATTCAGAGTAGAGACATCAGTAACTGCTGAAGACACAACATAGTTAGAAATCTATCATAACAACCCAAAAAGTCTCAAGAATCTACTTGAATTCTTAATGAATAGCTTTATACAAAGAGAGAATCAAAATAGAAGATCAAGACATACCAGAGCTAGAGCATATTGTATCACATAATTGCTAACAGCTGCTCCTTCTGGCTGTAAAGTTGTGGCATACATCAGTTTGTGTTATTTGAAAAAGATAATACTACATAAAATAGCATAAAGTTAACAATAATTAAATCAAAACGTAAGGTAAAGTGGCAAAGCCAGAAGAAAAAGAAATAACAGTATACACGTATCTAGCAACATTACCTTGCAGCCAATAAGTCGATAGAGAAGCTGCTGCAAAGCAGGCAACTGCTCTAATAGTTCTTCACTATCTAGATCCCTTGTCCTGCTGTAACCCTGCTAAAAAAAATTGACTGCACATGAAACCTCTTCAAAAACACACTCAATATAAAATATCAGGAAAGTGAAGTTTCATATTTCATTCTCATATAAATGCCCTTCAACTCTCATCAGATAACATTGGAGATGTTATAATCTCAAGGTTGACTCATTATTGCAAAGATGCATGGTTGTTGTTTCATGAAGTTCACTACCTTCTCCTGCCCTTGGGCAGGCTTGGGAAGACGTTCAGCTTCAATATCATACTTCAAAATCCGAAAACATTCAAGCCTCTCTTCCAAAAACAATGCATAAGTGCGTACCCAGGCAGAGCAATCCCAAGCTGCAAGAAAATAAAATCAGAGTCCGGAAAATTATATAACACAATTTTGAATTTGAACTAGCATCAGAAGTCTACAAACACCTAATAAAAGCCAGTAACTAGAACCAAAAAAGACATTTTGAAGAAAATGAAATTAATAAGCAGGATAAGGCAATCAATTTTACCAATTGGGCTAGAGTCATCCTTAAAATTAGAAAGTTGGAGAATGCGCCCTCTTTGTGAGAAATTCAGAAATTCTTCCTTGAAAGTAGGATCGCCCTCTCTTAATAGCCTATGGATGACTACCAGTGTTTTTAGTGCCACCTGTTAACAAGAGAAGATGAAGGAAAAGATTAGCCTATCTAACTGCTAAGTCATCAGCTAGCCATTACAAGTAATAACATCAAATAATCCCTGCAAGACATTGCACAGACCCCATGTAAATTCCATAATTCCTTTTGAAGGGACCATTATAGTGAAAATTCAATTAATAGCTAATAGTAAATTATAAATATATAGTAACAAACTAACAAAAGCAAGCTGAAACATCCCCTTCCCCCACAAAAATCGTGTTTCCTTGTACTGTGTTCATAAGCAAAGCAGTTATAAATGTCTCAGGCGATTCATAAGTATGAAACTAGCTACAATATAACATGGGTTTAGAGAACATTCTAAAAATTCAGTTTAGATGTGTTTGAACTTGGGAGTAAAAGTGAAACCAGACTTCAAAGCAACATATAGCATGTGACGTAAATAGGCATTGGCAGAGAAGTTAAGTGGATCTCATCGACTTCGAAGATAAGATCAGGTAGGCACAAAACAGAAATTCTTACGTTTAATAAACAAGTAATTCCGTGATCAAATTAAATCATAATTGCAAGTTCTGGTCCTATAAATTCATGACATCAATTGAATCCAAGAAACAAATGTCAATACCGTCCAATTTCGTGTCTTGGCCAATCGACGGGCAAGTGCATGAATGCAGTAAGCAACATCAGCTCGGGGTCGAATAGCAGACGTGGCAAATAGAATTTCTACATAATGCACAAATAAAGATGCAATTTTCTCATTCAATAAACATAAAAACTAAAACCTAGAAGAACAACTTGGATCGACAAATATAAATGACTTACTTCTAAGGTGTCTCTCCTTGGGAGGGCATTCAACGTGGTTCGTGGCTTTGACTATGGCAACCTCCAAATCCTATAAATAGGAACCAATTGAACCATGCCCTCATAGGAAATTTGGAAGAAAACAAGCAATCGAATCGACAAAAACTTTGAGGTATCGGTCCATCGGAACAAACTATATTTAGAATATGAAAAATTATCTCAATACCGCGTAATCGCTGTTGACATGGGCAAGACCAACTTTGGTTGTATCTTTGATGGCACCATAAGCTTTTCTCCAAGTCTGAAGCGTACCCATATCTAAACTCTGAGTGCTGATCTCTCTCACTCTATCTCTACCCCCTCTGAGTCACGGTACAAGTGGCACCCAACCCTTGAATTTCTGTGTGTATGAAAGGGATTCTGTTGCAATTCAGGGCAGGAGATAGAAGAGAAAAATCTGATCACGGAGAAACCATGGAATTAGAATGGCATGGCATCGTTTCAATTTAGTTTTTTGCGTGATTTTTTTTTTTAATATACAAATTGTTGGCGTGATTTTCTTCACACACAGGGAAAGAATTTCCCACCTTGGGTTTTGGCGGCCCCTCCTTCGCTGTGTGTCATCATCAACCCTTGACCTTTTAATTAACAATTTCTCTTCCTTTCCTTTATGTTGATATTGTCATCATTGTTATTTCATGAAGGGTTTCTCATATGGATATTTCTCTGATCATTATTTTAATCTACTATTCCCTCTATTTTTATTTGTAAAAAAAAAAACTTATTATTTTTTACTTATTTTTTTATATAAATAAAATTACTTATTTTAATAAATATTTATTATACATTTTTTAAATCACTCTTCATAATTTATATGAATGAAAAGTAATTAATGCATGTTTATTTTGATTAACATAGAGCATTTTAGTTAAAAAATTTATTTTTAGACATAATTATTATGATTAATTAATTTTTTTAAATTGTGTGATACAGTTTTTTTTTTTATAGATAACAACTGAGAGAGTAATTGCTAGTGAGTAATTTATTTTAACCTATTAAATTGGGGGCCAAAAAATAACCTATTAAATTTTTAACTTATATCATATAAAAAATAACAAAAAAAATCACTCCAAAATATGCATTTTTCTCAAGTCTTTGAGGACCTTTTTTATATTAATATCACTTATAGAATGTGTAACACACCAAATTTTTTTTTAATAATTTAACTCAATTATAGTTGTGTTACAGCCACCCAACACATTTTATATCAATAAATTCAATATAAAAAATATTTTATAATTGGCTTAAACTTGCACAATATAACATTTCAGATAAATTTTTACCTCTCACATGCCGTTAGGTTAAATCACCTTTGTCCATCCTTATACTCCCAACAAGTAAACTAAATTATTTAGTCAATTTTCAAAACAAGCCAGTTATTTGATCTCATAATCATGCCATTTTAACAAATTTAAAGTAAACTAAATATTAAAATTACAATCATCCAAATTGTACCAAAAATATAAATAGTTTGAAAGGCATAATTATATTTATATATTCATATAATTGTCAATAAATAAAAAGCCCTAATATTGGCAATCTAACACATTATAAATCATAAATCAAATACCCAAAAGAGACAGTGGATCTATGACACTAAACCTTTGGGACTCTTCCACGTGTCACTCGTAACTCTTCTTCTGAAAATTGTTAACCACATAATGAGACTCAAAAATCTCAGTAACCAATACCAATTTATGATAGTGTGTACAAACAGTTAAGTGTGTCCTTATTAAGTGAGAATTAAAAATAATATAATTCCAACAAATATAAGAAATATTACAATACAGACAAACAACCATCCTTATATCCCTCAATTAACCTCGAGCCGTAATCCTCACTCGGTGCTAAATTACCTGGCCAAAAGTAGATTAGCCCGAGCCCTTACAAGCCACCTATTGAGCTCCAATAGGAGCGTACCACGTGGCACATAAATACAACAACAATAGCAAGCCTCCCAACACCTCCCACAATAATCAAACAAATTCATAATAATATTGCACAATTATACAATATTACAAAATTCATAATTTTTTCAATAATCACCCAATTAACATGAAGTAACACTAATCACAAATTAAAAGCATGGTTACCTCGTAGCTTTTTCAATAAATTATTCCTTACAATTTATCTCCCACCACAATCTTCACCAATAATATAATGTACAAATAACATATTATTTATAAATATTAGTTTCAATTTTTGAAACTAATAAAATAATTCTAATAATAGAATTAAAAATATAATATAATTCCTAATTTTAAATCTTAATACAAATCTAGAGTTAATACTAGTAAAATTTTTAACTCCTCTTTTACTTATCAATAAATATTAATAATCTAAAAATTAACTTCTAAACTAATTTCTATTATCAAAATTTTCTTTTTATTTCATAAATTCGCACCTGAAATACTCAAAAATTAAAAATTGAGTCTCTAACTTAGAATCATAATCCTATAACCATAATAATTCATTTCTCATCCCAAATAATCATCTAAACATTAATAAATTAACATATATTTTCAGATCTAGTTTAGAATTTGATCTATAAGCCACAAATTCAAAGATCATCAACAAATTTATACTCTAGAATATTTATTATACTACTAACAATCTCATAAATCATATTTATTCAACATAAATTCATCCTCTTCCAGATCCTAAATTTTCTACCACCACAAAATCAGAAACCAAAGAGGAAGGATGACTAAGAAAATTTTTTAGAATACTTACTTAGTCTTGAAAAGTTTAAAATCACACCATAAATATCCTATTAAAAACTCTTACCTTAAAACCCAGCACCGGCGAACTTGGCTCACAAACGCTCTCTTTGCCTCAGCTCACGTACGAAGGAAAGAATGAAGAAATGAAGAAAACAGGTGAGTTTTTATAAAAAATTTAATGGATCCCATATTTTTTTTATTATTTCTTCTTTACTCTCTCTTCTTTCTTTTTTTTTATTATTATTATATAAACATAATCATTGCACCAGGAGAGCACCGAAAATTCACTTCTTCTTCCCCCCTTTTTTTTATTCATACCTTTCTCTTTTTTTATTATAATAATAATAATAATAATAATAATTTAATAATATATTTTTTTAATTAATTATTTAATTTAATTTTTTTAAAAAAATTAATTTAAAATTATATCCTAAGTTAGATTTAATAATCATTTTCTACTAATTTACTTACCTCTAAATATTTTTTAAAATTTTTATTAACCCAAATTAACTATTAAAATTTAAATTGGGATATTACAGAATGACCATAATGACCTCAATTTAAAATATAAGTGACTATTTTAATTTAAACAATGACTATTATTTTTCTAACGATGAATAACGTAGAATAATAAATGACAAGTTATACTTTACAAATTTTTTAATTAGAGTCCAAATGTTATAAATATTAATGACTATTTTAATTTAAATGACAACTACTTTTTCTTAGGCAATGACTAAAATGGGACAAGTGATTATAATTTTCTCTATGCAAATTTTTTAATAACTAAATTTTAAATGTTGTAAACATCAGTAACTATTTTAATTTAAATAATTATTGTTTTTCTTCTAACAATTAATAACAGAACAGGGATGGCAAACGGTAAGTCTCACTCTACAAATTTTTTAATCATTAAAATTTAAATGTTATAAATATCAGTGATTATTTTAATTTAAATAATAAATATTTTTCTCCTCTTAATGATTAAAACAAAATAAATAATGATAAGTTTTCTCTACAGGTTTTTTAATTAATAATGTTCAGGTATTATAAATATCATTGACTATTTTAATTAAAGAGATGATAACTTCTGACAACGATTAAAATAAGATGTCAAATGCTCTACAAATTTTTTAACCACTTATTCAATCTTTTTTATTTTGAATTAGGGGCATGATAGTTATTTTATAAAAGACATTAATGTTAAAAGGATTTCAAGGGATTTTAGAAAAATTATCATATTTTATAAAATCTTATTATTATTTATATATTTCAGGGACATTTTTCTCTTATGCCATGCTTATTTTTAATTGATCAAAAAATTTTAAAAACAAATACAGTATAATGTTGGAGATATCAAATTAAATTACAAAATAATACTTAGGCCATTTGTTATTATGATGTCACTAATGATGATGCCTAGGATTTACCTTTCCGCGCATGTAACGTATTATAATCGTTAACTCCTATAAAAGTCAATAAAATAGTTCATTAATAAGAGAAAGGTTGGCCTGACTAAGCATTCAAAACACAATTAACTGTTTAATCAAGTGGAGAACCATACGTATGAGATTATCTCTTCTAGGAGAAAATATTAAAAATATATTTATTAATTCTTACAATTTTATTTAATTTTAAATTATATTCTTATAATTTATTTTATTTTAATTGAATTTTTAATTGAATCTTTATAATTTGATCAATTAAATTTTTTAATCCTCAAAAGTTAAAATCTTTAAATTTTTCCTTCAAAAAAATTAATATTTTTATTAAATAATTATATAACTTCAGAATTATTTACATAATTTTTACAATTCAAAGTTTATATAATTTGTTTGTTTTCTAAACAGTTTTTATACATATACAATTGTCATAAAAAATTAATAAAAATACAAATAGTGTATTAAAACATTTTGGCTAAAAGTATTAAACTAAATTTTCTTTAAAATTTAAGAATATTTTTGTTCTGTAAAATTTAATAATTCATTATTAATTTTAACCTTCAGATATTAACATATATAATAGGCAAAAATATAAGAGCTTGATTAATATAAAATAAATTACAGATATTTGATTTAAAATTGAGTAAAATTATAAGAATTTGTAGATTAATTTTTCCAACAATATTATAAATAAGATCCAGATTCTTTCTATTTATCAAAGAATAATCTATGGTTAAAAGCTATTTTTTTCAAAAACTGTGCGTTGATAAATTATTTAAATTGTGTTTGTTTGATATTAGAATATAAATACATTTTCCTGCTTTTATTGTTGATTTTGTTAGAAATATATAAATTTGTAAGTACGTGATTGAAGTAATTCAATACCTAATTGTAATTAGAAATTATCCAAAAACAAGAACAACTTATCACAAAAAGATATTCTTGAAGTATCTTTACATTAAGAGCAATCTTATTTGAAATGTAATCAGACACCATACCTAAGCACCTTTCTTGAGTGAGATTCTTAAACAAATATTCCCATACAATCATACGCATCTAAAGAATGAGAACATCTTACTTTATGATTAAATTGTTATAATAGATTTTTAGAAATGGAGTCGGGATATTTGTTTATAAATAAAATTGAGATAGGGAATTGTAAATCTAATTAAATGGAATTGCAAATACAAGAAAACAAATTGTAAACAATTCCAAAATTTAATGTTAAAATATTTTATTTATAAATAAAATTAGAAAATAAAGTTGCAAATTAAGGTAAATGAAGTTGCAGACTTGGAGGAATAAGCTGTAAATTTTTTACTCGAAATTTTCTATTATAATTATTAAGGATATTTGAGTCTTTTCTCATACCTGCCAAGGACTTATTGGACTGACTTTACATTTTGAAATTTATTGAGACTTTATTAGAATAAAATGATCCTTTGAATCTCAATTGTCATTCTTCCTTTTTCTTTGATCATTATCGTATTAAAATATTTGGAAGCCATAAGCATTTGTTTTCGGAAGTTCAAGCAAAACTTTTTCCCCCAAAAAAAAAAATCTCAAATTAGATAAAATAACAGCAAAGAGAATGGGGGATTAAAATCCCAAGTACACATTCTACTGTAGTATTGTTATAACAATGCAGCAAAAAGGGACAGTAATTCAAATGACTTGTAGAAATAATGTAGATAACATATGCTGTACAATAATTCAACATTACTGTTTGGGCTAAGCAATATTTTTATTTACAAAAATTCAATCCCCCTAATAATTTCATGCGATCAGATCTTTTTTCACAGTGCAATAATTCGAAATAAACAGACTGCTCCAACCTTAACACACATATTGCTGCTTCTCATGGGGGGAAAATTACATATTAAGTATATCATTAAAATCCAATACACCGTATATTTTGTAATTGCCCAAACAAGTTGAGTAATATCCTCAATAATCTTTTACCCAAACATCACATAACACATCGACCAAAACATTACCTTCATCGATCGCCTCTTTAAGACTTGCTCACCTCATCAGTATGATTAAACCATTGTGTGGTTAAGTAGAACCATCTATCTACTTATTTTAGTAAAGCTGAAAAGATTTGCAGGGAACTAAACCATGCATCATGATCCTTAATATACAACTAGATTTATGCCCGTGTGATGCACGAGAATATTTTAATTTTTAAAAATAAAAATAAATATTAATATTGAAATTTTTTTTTTACATAGATATAGATCCTCTTTTCATTTAAAAATATAAAATATTTTTAATTAAATTTTATCCTCAATTAAACAAAATTTATTTTTTTCATATTTTCCCCTATTTAATAAGGTATTTTATCCTAAAATAAATATAAAATAATTTATTTAATATGGACACTTTTTTTTAAAAAAGTAATGATTACAATTTAAAAAACTTAAAAAATATTTTAAATATTCAACCCTTCAAAAAGTATCTTAAATTTTTGAATGAAGGGAGTATATAAAAAGTTCTATATATATCTAACACTTATTGTTTTACTAAAAATCTTATATTCACCATTAATTTTTAATACAAAATCCTATATGATCTCCCAACATATAAAAATTTTATTATTTTATATACCTTATTTAAATTTTTAAAATTTATAAATGTAAACTCCGCTCATATTTTTAATGATAGGTCTTGTACACCACTTTTTTAAATTACACTTCTTCAATTTTTTAAAAATTAAGTTTATTAAAATATTACATTCTCTCTATTAACTTTAAAGCTTCAATTTATATTGAGTTTTAAATATCTGAATAGATTAAAAAATTTATAGTCAATAATGGCTTTTAATACCTTTAACTTTTGAGTTTATTTAAACTGTTTTAACTATCCTAAATTATTAAAAATTATTTTATTTTATCTTTCTCTTTATTAAGTCCATATATTATGCCTTTGAATATCTTTTTTGGTCAATTTATATATTTAACTTTTTAAAAATTTACAAAATAAATGCATTTAAATAAAAAAATTATTTTTTGGTAATTTAAATAATTTTTGGACAACATTTATATTTAAATAAGGATATTTTACTCCAACATATGTGATTTAATGATCAACTAATGGTTAGATGGATAAAAATAAAATCTTAAAAATAAAATGAAGGCTTTTATTTTATAACTATTCATACTAAAAAACATTCATATAAGTTTTAAAAAATAGAAGAGATGTATTATAAAATAAGATAAAAATAAATAAAATATTTTTCTTATTTCTATGTATCTTAAGTTTTCGTATGCATCGTACCCATATGAAAAAAATAAAAAAAAATACGTTAGATTCATAAAAGATTAAAAAAAAAAAGTCGGTCCGATGGTACCAAGTTTTTTTCTAAAAAAAAAAAAAGAAGAAAAAGTTAGATTCATTAAAAAAAAATGAAAAGTCGGAAGGTACAGTGCAGCACCACCGATGATACCAAATTTTTTTAAAAAAAAGAAAAGTCAGACCTGATTTAAAAAAGGGCAAAAGTGGGGGCATTTTCGGAAATTCACTGTTCATCAAGCATATCAAATTTGCATAGATATACATTCTCGTCCAAAATGTTCTAACATAAACCTTGATATACAATTCAAGAAGCCATGGCGAGAGGACTATGATCACATAATCAGGTCGTCAAGAAAAGGAGAGTTGAATGGTAACTTGATCACCCCAGAAGCTATTAGGAGTGACATAGCCCAAATAGGCAGTATCCACTGCAACACAAAAAACAGAATCCTTTTTCCTGCAACAATTTTACAAAACCAAGCCACAAATAATCATACATAAGCAATGCACTTCCCAAGAACTACATTCAATCTAAACGCAAACAAGATATAGTTCCAATATTATATTTGGATTTCGAATCTTCCCTACAGAGTACAGATCTACTACTATATTGATCTGCCCGCTTGGCCTACCTACATACTCACTGGCATTCATGCATGGGACAAAGAAGAAGCTAGGACAGTTATAAACACTTTTATCTACTTGTTGAAGATTTGAATCTGCTCATTGACCCAACAGTTCTACAAATAAACATAAGTCATTCTCAGCAATTCACCAAGCACAAGTTGTGATTTTTCTTCTTGGCATGTATAATGAAATTCAGAGTCCTTCTTTTCCAGAAAATCGCAACATTTACCACGTTTACTGATCTAAACAAACTGTAACTGTTTGTTTACTGCATATTTCTGCCTCAGCTCAAGCATTTCAATCCAAACTCCAACTTAACTACCTCATGAGTTCAACGAATCCCAGAGTTTAGTCCTAGAAGAAAACGTTTGAAACTTTTTCTTGCAACTTTTCTCGCTTTCCAGGGGACACAACATAAAATCTCGAAGTTATCACCTAAACTAAAACAGAAATCACAGCCTCAGAAGAGATTGTTACCAGAAGAACGAAAATCTTGCTCGGTATTGTTAATGAGCCACTCTCCAGTCTCCCGCAGCTTCTTCTCTACCGGCCCTTCAAATTTCTTGCCCAAGAACAAGTCAAATACAGACTTCCTCACGTCCGGATCACTGTTGAAAAACCAAAGACCCCTAAAATCAAAATCCCAGAATTACAGACGCACGTGTATGTGCATTTATAACATAATGACTAAAACCCCATCAAAAAACATCATGCTCTAGTATTCTGAAAACAAACAGTCCTGCTCTGCCCAGAAGTGAAGGGAAGAAGGACGAACGCTGGTTGGCCGTCACGGAAGCTGCCGGCTCCCACAATACGTTCGATTTGGACTACAGTAGGCCGAGGAGGAGAACGGTTACGCTTCTTTCTGGGTAAAGCGACGGTTTTTGTGGAGACAGGTGGAGATTTGGGATCATTGCTTCGAACGGTCGGAGCAGAAGAATCGCTTTCGGGAAGGTTGGCTTGAGCAACAGTTTTGGTTACGGAGGAAAAGCTCGATAAGCGAAACATGGCTGGTCGTCTTCAACAATGAAATTCTCTGTTCTTTCCGTTATCATGTAGCAACGCTCCATATAAAACGTTCAACACAGATAAGATATAGGCCTACAAAATATCTTCAAAGATGTACTCCCTCTCATCCACTTCACAGGTCAGTGATTTGGTTTATAAATTATTAAATTGACAATGATATTTTTATTTTAAATAAACTTCTTAATTTACCCTTAAAAATATAAGAGAAAGGGATAGAAAAATAAAATCATAAAATCTATTTACTATTTACATTTTACTCTAAAATTATATTTCAAATTTTATTAATTTTTATTCCTTATATTTTTATTGTATTGATATTAATAAAATTAATAAAAATAATTTATAAATAGTATCTGTCAAAGTAATTTTTGGTAATTATGAAAAAAAAAGCAAATTTTTTTGTTGGATTACCATTTTCTGAACAAATAAATTTTATATGTACAAGCCAGTTAACATATATATTAAATTATAATAATTAATAATTATAACAATTCATTATAAAAAATAACTTGGTAAAATTATTGTTATTAAAATACATAAACAAATACCGAGTCTTAATTTTATAACGTCAACTCGCAAAACCTTACTATATCTCTTTTATAACTGAGCTTATATATGCACACCATTACCAATGATATATTCAAAAATTTAATAAAATCATATAACAGGGGACCAAGGTTTTATTTTACAACATTCAAAATAATGATCCAACACAAGAAGAGGATCATTTGAAGACTTTCTAAGCTTGAAACCCATCATCATGTTGACAAATTCCTCAGCAAATGAAGGGCCCTTTCCCATTGTGGCCTTTGTGACAGCACAATCCTTCTCAACACCGGGACTGCTCCAGCAGCAACAATCAATGAATGATTCTCACGGCCCATGCTCAGATTATACAATATAGCCAATCCTGCTTCAACCGCCCTTTCACTTCCTTCTTCTATCAGCTTCACCAGTGGACATATTGCCCCCTCAGACACAACAGCTCTAGCAGAATGTACCACCTCTTCAGATATTATTCTGTTCAGTTCTACAGCAGCAGCTTCCTGTGCTTCCAGAGAGAACGAAGTTTTTATCTGTTCTACGAGTCTTGGGATTGTCTGATACAGTGTGACTTCCACATTGATAGGATCAAGACTTGGGATGTCACTGGAGAGTGAGCTGAGTTTAACTAGGCAGGCAGCCACCCAGTCTTTGCTGTGGAGAGGAATACAAGATTTGAGGATTTTTCGAAGTAAGCCGATGAAATGGGAGGAATTTACTTTGTCTTGAAAATGCTGACAATCGAGCAGTCTCGCCATCAACCGGGATGCTGCAGATATTGCTAGCCCAGCTTCTTCAACTTCGACCGGGTATGCTTCTGAAACCTGATCTTCTACATCAGGTTCTCCATCTGCGGCATTACAAATCTTGTGGAAGTCAAATCTCTAGACACAAATGAGTTCCCGAAAGAGATATAATTATTGCCGATTCATAGTTAAACTAAGAACCAAGCAAGGAAGGCAGGTAGACAAGATTACAAAGCTTTCACATGAAAATGTTAACCATGCAGGTACAAAGCAATTTCCTTCAAGCAATATGTATTACTGTAACATTCATTTGATTTGTCAGCGTTTTGGAAAACATCTCAATTTGATAGTTCTGTGCAACCGCTGAGGCATTGGTAGCAATGGTTACAGACAATTTGTTAACTATATTATGTGTAGAGACAAAGCACTAATAACAGATATATAATTTTCTACAATGATTAATGAATCCTTACAGAGAAGAAATTTAAGACCTGAAATTCTCAAAATTTTTTGCAGAAAGACAGCATTGAGAGCAGATTCAATATCTACAGACATAATAGAGACCATAGTTGGGTCAGTCAATGCAACAAACTCGAGAACTGATGCAGCTTTTCCTTGTAAACTGGGAGAAGAGGACTTCAGAATCTCAACAAGGCGGGCTACAAAAGCAGAATCCAATACATCATTCCTGAAATAATTATCAAATGCAAGTGAATTTTAAGTATCTCCGTGCACTGCACTTACCATCAATTCTTTAATCAATTATATCAGTAACGGCCAAAAATAATACTCCCTCCATCCCAAATTATAGAGCACTTTTAAAAGAGTTTTTCCGTTTCAAAATATAAGACACCTTGAGTAGATTAAGGTTTCATTAAATGCACTAATTTCAATATTAACTTTTCTCTCTCTATAATTAATTTTCATCCCCTCTCTTTTCAATATATTAAAAGATGAATATTTTTGAAAGTTTATATTTTTGTTTTAGAAAGATAAGATTGTTAAGTATATTTAATGAGATTTATTGATATGTGAGATTTTCTTTAACAGTGTCTTATAATTTGAAATGGAGAGAGTAATAATCACATCATATTGGAATAAATTACGCTGACCTCCTTGAGGTGATAAAACCATGATTTTATTCTGAAGACAACAACAAATCAAGTAAATTTATCTTTGGTAAAAAGTACTGAAATTGAACTTGGATAATCAAAAATACATAAGAGGGGAGCTGGCTATGATGTCTTAAAACAAGAGTTATTGTTACATGGAATTAGCAGTACCACTCCAGTTACGAAAACTAACTTTGTAACTGGTTACTCTTATAAGTGATATGTGCAATGGACTGAAGTGTAAACAGATAGCTTGTAGCTATCAGTTTGTTTCTCCGTGGGGCAAGTATCAAGTGTAATTTAGCCGAACTTCATGGGAAGCTAGTGTAGTTTACTCATTGTATTAATAAGTCAAAAGAATCAATCTTGGATCTTGTTATGCTGGAACATCAAGAAATCCAAGTCCTCTCTTAGGCCAAGGCCTCGAGAAAAATAAGGTGCATCACCCAACCCACAAGAGAAATTAGCCTTTCTCCCTACTGGTCTCACATCAATCATGTACAAATGACCAAAGTATACACAACAATGCAGATTAATCTCTCTGGTTTATTTTTGTACAACATATGATAAGAAGATCAATCATCACGACAGATTGTAACTGGATAGAAACTAACATAACAACAGTAGGAATTCCCAAAATTAAAAGGTAACAACAAATATATTTAAGGAGGAAAGTAGGGGGAAGTTAACCTGGTAGTGGTGTTTGATATCGGATAATCAGTGGTACTGAAGCTAGCTGAAATAGCATTATTTCTAACTCCACTTAAGGCCTTCTCGGATCCATTAACTGGTCCATCATGAAACTGAAAAGAACAACTGTGCTTGATAGTCATTAAGGGAAAAAAAATCACAAAGGCTCTCCACCTTAGCTGCAAGATCAGAGATAAGAACCTTCAATTTCATCTCTTTACTGGGGTCTAGTATGCGAGCGATTGTATTCAAAGACTGTAGAAAAACAACACAGCATCATCAGAAACCTGGTAAAATTAAGTTATGAAACATATAAAAAAAAATCCTCAAAGGAAATAGCAGTACCTTTTCTGCAATAGTTTTGGAAATCTCTGAGCATTTTAGAATATTAATTAAAGGACCTAACACTCCCTCAGATTCAATTTTCTGGCAAACTACATTGCTGCAAAAACAAAGCTTAGAATTATTCGAATTCAACAAGGAATATGTACCACCAGTCAAGTATGTTAATTAATTTGAAAATTTGGTGTTAATAAATGAAAGGTAAGTGACATAAACAATTGAGTATATCATAAACAGTAAATTGGTGTCCATATAAATAATAAATTGATCTGCATATTTACATGTGCATCAAAATTGGCATCGTCTAGTGCACCCATGCTGGTGAAAATCATTATTAGAAGTAGGTTTTTGCATTCAATATTAAGGAGAAATTATAGTCGACAAGTTGAGTTGGATGCTTCAACTGAGACCCTACGTTCCTGGATTCAACCAGCAAGAAACAACTAAAAATGAACTATTGACTTCTACGCATGCAGCATGAAGAAGAACTATTCTCTGACTAACCTAGTAAGATTACACAAAAGTGATCCTTAAATCACACAACCCACGTAAAATTAAATGACAACCAATTAACCATTCATAAATGATATTTTAGATTTTGAATACTTTCAGTTTCAATTGAAGTCAATCCTTTCACTTCATTTTTCTTTCCAAAAGATTGACTTATGAGTCATGATGCAACCAGTCCTACTTTCAAAAGAAAATCACTAAATTAAGCCATCCTTCATAACTGATAAGGCTCTTCTTTCACCCTCTAGGTGACAGGTCCTCATCAAATGTTTATTTATAATTACACCATAATATGATTTTTTAACATTTTTTTCAATGAGAAAACCACATCATATCACACAATTTTCTAAAACAACGAAGCAATGACAGATCAGTGTTTTGGGTAAGTGATGACAATGGTCCTTAATAACAAAAATACAACTTTGCTACTGAAATTTTAAAATAGGAACTAAATTTTGATGGATTTCAGCTACCTGGCAGACAACCTCTCCAAAGCTTGAGTTACAGCCACTCTGACAGCATCATCATCACAATTCAAAAGCCGAACTAAATGCTTAACAGCTCCAGCCTCCTTGAATGCAATGCGCATATGTTCATTTATAGATACATCAGCTATTGACTCTGCAGCCCTTTTTATGGCAGTCTTATCCTCTAGTTCTAGAATAAGTACCAAGCGAGCAACACCATCCATCCAAGGCAAAAGTGTAAGTTGTTGCCTATCAGAGCTTTCAGAATCAGATGTTCTTTTTCCTTCCCATTCTATAGCCCCAATACGAGCGAGGAATTGTTGTTGTGTCCGTCCCACAATCGCATTCACTTTTTCTTCCTCTATGTTAGCACTTTTATCATCAATATTAAGTCCAAGAAGTAATTCTGATGCACCATACCTGGAAGGTTTTACAGAAGCCCGTTCAATCTCTGTACCATCTGGTAATTTGGGCCATGAATGCACACCAGGGGAGAATGACTTGTACGCCTCAGCACCAATCAATGGCACAGGAACCAGACCTTCCTCAACGACAAGAATTTTATAATATCCATCCTTAACAAATTCCAGCAATGCATTTTTTGCTTCCTTTTTAATGACTTTGGATCCTTCAGGATCAGAAGTTAAGAACTTTGCCTGCATGAAAAATTGATCTGGAATTTAATCAAAGTCCTGTTGAAAATATCACATTCTTCTTACCATTCTTTCATTCACCATCTCTCCCCCAATATTCTTATGGGATTTCAGTGAATTTATGTTGACTGGATTTACATGCCTCCTATCAGTAAGCATGTAAAATCAACATGTCATGCAAATATTTTATTATGGATATAACCATCTTTTAATTACTATGTAAACTCAAAGAAAGTCTCACCAATTTTGGTATAACACCCGCTTCAACCAAAATGCGGTGGTTAACATGGCTCAAAGCTAAATTTGCCAATATGCCTCCTGCAGCTTCCTTCACTTTTACATCCTCGTCTTCAAGGTACTTACTAGTCAATGGCAGGATATCACTCTTTGCAAGTTTAATGCGGAGCTTCTCATCCACAGATAAATTCCACAATGTACTCATACTCTGCTCCTTCACCTACGAAAATGACATCCACATATTCCTCAATATTCTACAGCAAGAAATATGGATAAATGCAAGTGGCAATATACCTATTCCTATACCTCAGGAGCCAAGGAAGACTGCCTCAGCAGTCTATTTATCTCTTCTATTGCTCCACTCTCTGCCACTGAATTCCTGTATAGATTGACTGAAGATAGAGATCGCAAAAGGCCTGCAGCTCCTTCGCATGCTAAACTAGAATTTGATCTGAGGAGGCGCACAGTAAGATTAATACAACCAGGGAATCGCATTAAAGTATCAATACACTGCTTTCCACCCAGTGAATATTTCCAGAGAGCAATTATAGCCTGTTCTCTATCAAGAGGATCATGATCTAAGCCCAACATTCGAACAAACAAGGCCACATAACCATCACCGAGGCCAGAAGAGGCACTCTTCTCTTCTTCAAAGTCCTGAAAACAAAGTTAGACACACACACACACATAGCTGTATGAAATGGACTGTGCTGTAATTCAAAAACAACCTCAGCAAAAACCAAAGCCCAAAAGAATATAAACACCAAATACATTATAGAGCACTAAGATATACAAATCACATAGCATCCCATGCTCTAACTCAGTGCATGCACTACATATGTATTTATGAACTGAAAGGAGTGGCATACAATAGGATGAAAAGTAGCTTATCTTACACCCTCTGGTTGTTACTCATAGAATTCGAGTGACATACAATAGGATGAAAATTAGCTTATCTTACACCCTCTGGTTGTTATTCATGGAACTTATTCCCAATGAAATCAACCTTTGGGAATGCTGCCTCATTGTTATAGATTCTAGTAATCAAAACTTATTCTTTTGCAGTTATTAGATAGCATTTGAGCTTCATAGGGCAAAGACAGCCTTTTTCTACATAGAGAATAGAAGTAAAAATGAAGAATTCCCATAACAACTAATTAAAGATGAACAAAAGTATCCGGCAGTTTGCCTCGTGAGTTACTGAGTATGATATAAGGCAACATCAACATGGAGAGTCCGGTGGAAAAAAAAAATTAAAAAAAAAACTTGTCTTGGTATCCATCAAAACTAATTATAACGGGAATTGTCACAACTTAATGCACAAATAGCTGCATCTCAAACATAATTGAATGAACCCATCCCAACGATAAACAACACAATTTCCAGATTTAAGAGCCTCATCACTTCTGCTTTTACTGTATGCCGATAGGGGGGACCTTTGGCCCCACAAACAACTCAGAAATTTATGCTAAAATCTGCATAAGACAGTAAGTAACACCTTACCCCTTATTACCAAAAGGAAAGAAAAGCCAGTAATGCACTCATGAATCATGGCATTTTTACAGATAATAATACAAATAAAGCTCTAGTTTCCCTAGCATGTTACGACTACTGAAACATATACATTCCATAAACGCCATCAAAATGGTCAACGATTGAAACAAGAACCCAAAACAGAAAAATACTACTTGATAACGTACAGGAGGAGGAGAGGAAGACTGTTGCGAGGTAGCATCAAATGCGCCATCATCGCCATTACTGACCCTCGTGGCCACTATAGGTCTACTGTTCGATTTCGAGCAAAGACGGCAACTGCGATGGGCTAATTTAGAATAAGCTGACACTCTGCTTCTCCGGTATATTCTGCTTCCAGTTGGGAAGATTTCTATGTTGGTGTTTGGTGGGAATAACACGAAACGCAAAGGTTTCAGTTTAGACGTTGTTGGGATCGTTAAGGCGAACATGTCAGCTGATCGAGAGGACGCTGCGAGAAAGATAACGAAGCAAAGGCAATATATGATTATTAAAGCCGCAGAAAAGGCTTCACCTTCTAAGGTGGCCTTCCCTGTGTTTCTGGAGAGTCAGATAATGGTGGCGCTGGGCTTTTGGCTGCCCATTCGAATCATTGCATTTATATTTTAAAGTAAATTCCCCTGATCTTTTTATCAAGTATTAGCATGGAGTCATAGGACATATATAATTCATGCAAATTAAAATTTAATTTATTTTAATTTAATGTACTCTAATTACCCTTCTATTTTATCTTAATTATATAAAAAAATTTTATTTTAAAAATATATAATTTAGTTCAATCTATTTACTTCTTAATAATATTTTGAAAAAAATTCTAAAATTATATATTTAAATTAAAATTTATATGAAAACAAATTTTATTAACTAATTTACCCCTCACCCTAATAAATCTTAAATTATATTATTTTGATAATTACTCTCTCCGTTAAAAAATGTAAGACATTTGTAATTGAATCTCACCCTCTAATAAAGTAATTATTTACTTCCAAACTAACACTATCTTTTTCATATTTATTCCTATTAAACACCCTAAAATAAATATAAAGTCATTCATTAATAGGGACTCTTTTGAAAAAAGGTAATGATTACATCTCAAAAAAAAATTAAAAATACTTTACATTTTTAAAGATATTTTTTAACAGAAGAAATACATCATTTCATTATAAAAAAAAGTTTACAAATTTTAAATTTAAATTATTTACCAAAATTTATCAAACTTGTATCATTTTATGTCATGTGATGAACAAAAATATGTGTGTGAAACATATTTTTATTAATTTTAAAAAATATAAATAAATAAGATTAAAAAATTTGATAAAAATTAAATTCATAATATTTTATAATAAGAAAAAATTAATAAATTTTATAATATAATAAAAATTTGAAAATTTATTAATTATATATATTTTTGTTGTATATAATATATATATATATATATATATTTGGAAAATATAGATTTTTAAATAATTCTCATGTTTTTGGCCCAAAAAAAAAAGATAATTTTCATATCAAAGAAGGACATTTTGATCAAATTAAAAGTTAAAAAGTCAAAATTAATAGTCAACTAATAATTGAATGAATAAAAATAAAATTTTAAATATATAAAAAAAGTTTATGTAATATATATTTTAATTTTAAGAAAGGTTTGAATGAATTTTTAAAAAAGAGGGGATGTTTGTGTAATTAATACACAATAGAAGGGTGGACAATATATTTCACTCAATTTTAATTACAATTTTTTTCTCTAAATATAATTTATATATGCATAGGAGACTCAATTTTATTTATATCCTATTTATAAAGTATAAAGAAATTTTTTTATTATATTTATAACTCATGTCATTAATTTTTTATTATAAATTTCACTTTTTACTTTTCATTAAATATTAATAAAAAATATGTTATTAAATTATATATATTTAATATGAATAAAATTTGAAAAGTTATTATATTTTTAAACTGAGTTAATAAGTTTTTTTATTTTTAATAAAATATATTAAAAATAATTTGTAAAAGATCTCTCACACACATATATAAGAAAAAATGTATTTCTTTTTTTTTTTTCATCTAATATCCTAAAGTGTTTGGGTATATTGAATTTATTATTTGTTCAGTTCATTCTAAATTAATTCAAACCCTTGCTTAGCAAGCGCTCTTTGAGGGGGTTCTCATAGGTACTATTGGCCAAACATGTTTTGTAAAAAATAATAATAACAACTAACAACAACAACAACAATAATACACGTCCCCACTTTCGGGGCTAATTCTTAACAGTTAAAACTCGAAATTATGTTGATGTAGCCTTGCCCATAAGATCTGTCAGTATATATTGAATTATTGATAATATTAAGCCGAAGTAGAAATGAGCCTACCAGTGGAAAATCACACAATCGCTTTAATTGACATGAAATTTCTCACTTGTCAGTGGATGCGGATGAGTCTGATATCCACGTGGCATCTGCTGAAGTATTTGGCTCTTCTATCTTTGAACTGAAGGCTAGGAGTAGGCTCTATGGACTACGGTGGCCGTGGAATTGAACTGACGAAGAGGATAAGAGATCAAACACAGAAAGAGATCAAACACAGAAAGGGAGAGCTCTGAAAAAATGAGCTGCTCATTCAACCTCCATTTTCCCAAAGCTCTGCCTCCTCTCTCGTCCTCCTCTCGATGTGGGACTCCTGCTTCTTTCTTTGTTGCTTCCAAGTACAAACCATCATCTCATAGCACCACTCCTGCCCAACCGGTATAGTCTGATTCCCTTTCTTGTGCCAACAGTTTTGAGTTAATTATTACTTTTTACTGGATCTTTCTTCTGACTACATCCCATGAATCCAATTACAGACCATTACAAGCAGTTCCCAAAAGCCAAATGAGTCCATCGGTCTACAGAAACCAAGTTTGGCACTACAAATAGAAGCTCTCTTGGCCCTTGTGAGATCTTCTTTTTCACATATACCTGTTGGGGTAGCACGGAATAGCAGTAAAAACACTAATGATCTTAGAAATCAACCAATAGGGTATACCAAACATTTCTGTAATTTTTTGCGGCTTAAAGTTAAGGTTGACTGTGGTCATTTGAACAGGCTGAGCAACCGGCATTCGCAGTCACTGGAGTGAATAACGAGCCAGAACTCAGCTGGGTTTTGATACAGCTGGGGATTGTTCTTTTTGGGTACTTCATAGTTATGCCTGTAAGTTCTCTCCTTTAATACAGATTGTGAAGTTTGTGCTTGCCTTTCTTATCTGGAATTCTGATACTTGGTGTGTGTGTGTGTGTGTGTGTGTGTGTGGGCGAATTGCAGCCAATTATATTGAACTGGCTTAGGATAAGATGGTACAGAAGAAACCTTCTCGAGATGTATGTGCAATTCATGTTTGTCTTCATTTTCTTCCCAGGGTGAGAAGTTGTTGCTCTGCTGTTTTTGATTAGTTATGCACGGATGTGATTACAAAATTTTTTTTAGATCTATATATCATATAAATTATGATATTCATAATATAAAGACTTCAAATTTGATTGTGCAAAGTTGTTGTGGGCGTCAATTCAACATGCTTGTTAATTGCTTTTTTCATAGCAATGCTTTTTTCCAAAATTATTTGTTTTGCCAAAAATATCCTCCCTCTTCAGCACCATAAGAAGAATTCCATTTTGCCACCGTGAATGGGTAAATTATTTCCCTCTTTTCTGCAGGGTACTTCTGTGGGCACCATTTCTGAACTTCAGGAAATTCCCAAGGGACCCATCCTTGAAGTATCCTTGGTCGACGCCTGAGGATCCTTCAAAGATTAGAAATGCATATCCAAAGTACCCGTTTGCCGAACCTGATGATTATCAATGAAACTGTATTCACAAGACAAGAAATCTGGCTGGAGATTTTGGGAAAAGGGATCAATTGTATTTTCAAATTATTGTGGGTAAGAGGGTGATTCAGCCTTTGCCAACAATACACTCGAGGTGAAGGCTTGTAAACGGAAACAAACACGCCTTTTCTTCTTGTGATCAGAAAATATATTGATAGGAACACAGTCGCAAAATTTACTACTAATCATTTTTCCCAATTTGAGGTCCCTGACGAAAGAGAGTGGGAAAAACAAATGGCAGAGGCCAAATTCAAAACATCAAACCTACTTCAACAGTTTGAAAGACTGTTGTAAAGTCTAGGCTTATTTGTTACTTTTGTAGTTATCAACTTATTAATCACCTAGCAAGAGAAGCACTAAAAACGTGGTTCTAATTGTTTCCCTGAAACGAAACACAGGTGAGACAATTTGGTTGGACTCAATGGTTTGGGCCTCAAGTCGCATTTGTTCCAAAATATGATGGACAAATCATGGGTCTAAATTCAACAATGTGCAGTGCCTCCAGCAGATACAGATTGAATTATGCATCAGTGCTAAAAGAGAGAAGCTAGGTACTTTTAGTTAATCAAAGCAACCATCCACCCTCTCCCTCTGTCTTCAAGCAGTCATCTATTCCTGATTTTTAAAAACCAAATAATGATTTGCAGAAGCAATATTGATCAATTAAAAATTATTCAGAAGAAAGTAACTGACGAGCAAAAAGGGAACAGGCCACAGTGACAGCCATAACCATGCAAACTCGAGAAAATTTTGCATCTTTTTTTGGGTGAAAACTCAGCTGTATCAGCCACAACTGACTTCAGGATACAGGGGGAGCTAACTCCGGCATTTTGCCAGCACTGTCATTTTAACAGCCATGATGTAACAAATTTTTGGAAACCGAACAGAAACAGTATAAAATAAGTCCTTAATGGTCAAACTAAACTAAACTTCCTCGAAGCACTGTTGCCTAAACTACGCAGCTCTCCTACCAGGACTTGAATAAGCAACCTCCATGTTACGCTCTTTATGAGGAAATTCACAATTTAACTAGTTGCACTTGTGGTGAGCTGAAAAGAGCCATGGGCTGTCAGTGCTGCAGAATAATTCTCGCTTTTCAGAAGGTGAGCTGAGAGCTGACGGCTACAGAGAGTTTCCTTAAATCCCAAGAACCCATATTGGGGGAGAATGCAACAGTACCCAAAGCTAAAGCAACAACCGTGAAGGTCAAACATGTCAAGCACCCATGACTTCGCGATACTGTTCCTAAGATTATTTTGCTATACTTGTCTACATCCTTAAGGAGTGCTTGCTGAGCAGCATCTGTCCCAGTAGCCAGTGCTTGATCACTCTATGGCCAAAAAGTAGCCAATCATTAGAAAGAAAACATTCATATATTCTGCTACAATTATATATAAATGAAATTCTCTGAGAAATGCCAATCAGTCCATGTCAAGGGTATCGGCAACCAGCACAAGATACTTTAAATGGAAAATATCATGCACGGTAAAAATGAATGAGAAGCTACCTTTTGCCTAAAATTTCTTAGAGTTTCCCTCAGAGGCTCAAAAGGAGATAACTTTGCTGCGTGTTCAGTCCAATCTTCAGAAAGTTTTTTCAGAATGGAAACACTTGCTTCTACGTTTTCTGGAAAAATTTTTTCCTGCCCATAACCAATAAAGAATGAGACTAAATAAAATCAAGCAAAATGACTGCCCCCAAAAAAAAGCACGCAATAATCTTGTATGAACTCACAAATCAAAATGGCATGTTTATAGACAGAATGGCTCACCCATTGCTTCTAACATTCTGAACTCTGGCTCAAGCACCAAATGAAAACACCAGCTGCTTCTTTTGACAACACAGGATTGACTGGAAAACCTAGCTACATTACATATAACTTCTAATATATATTTACTTCTATAATATTTTTGGCAGAAAAGAAAAGGGAAACAACAAATGAAGCTCCGAAATACAGTTTCCATAGCTTCTCCTGGTGCCCTGATTGCAAAACTGAGAATTTGCTGTGAATTTTGCTTCAGTGCTTTACTTCCAGGGGAACCAGCGAGAGCTACATTTTTCAGAGTCGGATATATTGCCTCAAACCTTTCAGTAGCCTATACAAACATGCAAACAAATGAAAATCAACCATTACTCTAGCTGAAGATGCAGGGAAAGTAACACGCATCAATATTTCAAATGCAGAAGGTGGAATTAATCGTTCCCCTTTCCTGATTGCACCATTTACTAAAATGGGTCGTGCTTTTGGAGTAGACAAAATTCTGCTGCCAAATTGGGGGGAAAAAAAGACAATGTTATCAATGCATGACAATAGTATTGAGGAGAAAAAGCTAAAACGTACTTCTCCACTGGCTGCAAAATCAAATCCCTGGATTGTGGATTAACACTTTTGCTGCTCACTTAGGAGATTGTGTGCCCAAAGCATACAAACCTACTAAGAGGTCTCCTATTGAAGCCTGCACAAAAGTACTTCAATATTCAGCATTACAAAAGTGAAGGAAAAACTAAAAAAAAAAAAATCATATTTTATACGAATTTTTCTGGTGGACTCGTGTATAATTGTTTCAACATTTAGCACTCACCTGAGATATTATCCATACAATCACTGGAAGCTTATCTTGCCCTTAATACTTTGCACTGTCCCTTAATATGGGTAATTGGCTAAGTAGAACATCAGGCTTCCGCCGCAATACCATGCCTAAGACAGCAAACATTGCAACCTGCAAATAATGTCAATACAAAGTAAAATAAAAAATAAAAAATCATACTAGAATTTAAAAAACTATAAACAATACGACAAATGTTCAATGTAAATAAGGTGCAAAGAGGCGCAAACAGTCTGCAATCAAATTCACACAACCAAGTTGATGGAATCAGGAAATATAAACTACTCCCCAAATAAGATTTAACCAGCTGGCTGCTTAAAAAAAAAGCATCGTCTTTGTTTGGACTTTTTTGTGGCATTTTTTTGTTTAAGACTTAAAGTGCCCAATAATGATTAAATTATAAATTCAACTCAAGCTTCCTCTTTTAGCCATATATCTAAATGCAAAGCACTAATTAATTAGATGCACATCTCAGGAGCACATAACTCACAATTAATTTATTTTTTCTTTTGTTTATAGGACCTATTGATCAAAAAGATCCCAGAAGGAAAACAAAAACAACAATAACAGACATCCATACCCTGCCTCGTACATCAGCTACTTGAACATAGTTGTAATTGACATTAACTAAACTCAACACTAGTGAACGGCCCCCCGAATGGCATACAAGACCTCATGACTCATGATAAACAAACTAAAATAAATAAAATAGCAAACCTTGTTAAGAGGTGGAAAGACCATTAAAACAAAGAACTCGTTGATGAACTGGTCTAACATCTCTGGCTCTGACCAACCATACCGTTCGCTAGTGGTATCAAGTTACCTAAGATTTTGTAGTCATGCGCTGTGCAGCTTTTTTGGAGACCTTGGTCACAGCTTTCTGGCTAGTCAAATCAGCAAGAATACAGTCTAAAGACCACAGAATAAAGGAACTTGGTGCCTCAAGAAAACGTTGGTTGATCCAGTCAATTGATGTCTTGTATACAACGTCAAAAATGTGAGAAGCGGGATCTGGTAAAATGTACACTTGTTAATTAGCTTCCAAGGAGAAAGTCAGAAAACTAAAACAATTCTTGTAAGCCACATGAGATAAAGTTTGAATGCTAATGATGTCCATCAAATTTTGTTCGGACATATCTTACCATGACATCAAACATCAAAGTATAATAACCTATCATGGTACAAATAGAAAGGAATTAGAAAAATTGTATTTTGTTTAACATAACACCATGTAAAGGTGCAAGGTATAATGATCTAAGAAAAACTTGTGCATAAAAACTTTCAATATTGTATGATCTCACCACAACCCCAAGGAATGTTACGAGGCATAATGGTCTAAAAACACAAGCAGAAAGATATTAGAATATTATCATGTTGTATAATGGGAAGCTATTACTAGATTCTTTAAATTTAATAGAATATTTAAAGGAAAATTGCAACATATGGTTTCCGATAAATTTAGCTTTCATAATTATAATCATATTTAAAATCACCGGTTCTATAGTCTAAACATGACAGGTACCATCACTTTAAACTTAGATAGCACTATATTTAGTGGCATAGAGAAATAAAATTAATATGCATTTCAATTTAAATTCACAACCACTTTATAAAAGAATCATCATCAAGAATAAAACAACAATATCGAAGAAAGAAGAAATATAACAAATATGCTATAAATGGTGTACTCTGAAAAGCAATATGGAACCTCAAGGAACAAAGACACTCCGGGCAAGTTTCCATTTACATTGGATGGTTGCCATGGTTACCAAAGGTTAACGCTTCAGAACGTATATTCAAAATCTAGTTGATGTAAAACGGGGAAAGGGAGAGGGGAATAGAGATAAAGAGAAAGGAGGAGGAAGAGAAAGAATGAGAGGAAAGGTCGAAACTCTCGAAAACTCTTGTTCAATAATATTCAAAAGCTGAATACAAGTGAAAAATTCTAAAGTTATTTATAGAGTCCTAAAACTAATAAAATAATAATAACTTAAATTCAAATTCTAAATCTAAATATAATATTAAATACTAATATTTAAGATAACAATAAATAAATAATAACTCCTGATTCTAATGAATAAAATCCTTATTTAAATATCCCTAATGGATAATCCTAATATCTTAAATAAATTTTAATTATATTAATTAACTATCCCGTATTCCATCACTAGTTGCCAATGGTTAACGCTTCTCACTATAATTACATACATGCAAATGAATATGCACACAGATTATCAAGCAACATTGACCAGCTTATCAAGCATCAAATCACAGTTTTTTTTTTTTTTAATAAACTTCGGTCTTCCCGAATTTATCATGAAGATTATAATTAGATAGATGCATGTATACTATACAAATTAGACCAATGCGTAACTCACGTCAGCCATCTTAGCCACCGTTGACTCCCTCAACAGCTTCATCCAGGGAAATTGTGAAGAGCTCACAGCAGAAAATGCACGCCCAAAATAATCAGCAAACCGCATTATCTGAATGTCCTGCTGCAACTCGTATGATGTCTATTGGACAAAACAAACAGACAATTAATCCAAACGCAATTCCTCTCCGAATCAGCAGATCAAATCCAAACACACACATAACCGTGTGTGAATCAAAACCCATTAAGGGAGGAAGGCGCCCCACCGATATTTCAGCAAGAAAAGCCGTCAGATCAGCCGCATCAATCTTCGCAGCCGCTTCGGCGACGGTCACCTTAAGCTTCTTCGGCTTCTTCTGCTTCACCTTATTCACTTCCTCCACTTTCCCATTCTCTGGCGCATCATCATCTTCACTTTCTTCGTCATCATCGAAATCAGACCGTTGCTTCGATCTAACTGGAACACCAGCTGCACCGGCAATGGATAGCATGGCCCCGAACCTTGCTCTAGTACTATTCTCATTTCCAAATACAACATTCATAAATTATACTGTCTCCTTTCATTAATTAATCAAACAATATTATGGCACCTCAATCTCATTCTCTGTCTCATATCTTAACAACGATATAGTATTTATGTGTATATAATAGCATAGTGCTCCCTACCTAATTCTTGTCCACGTCACACGATATAGATGTGGATAGATTGTTCTCCGTTACTCCCTCTTCACTTTTGACTTATATTTTTTTAAAAGTAAAATTACTCATTTCAATAAATTTTTATTATATATTTTTTAAATCATTTTTTATAATTTATATTAATAAGAAACAATTAATATAAAGTTACGTTGATTAACAAAAGACATTTTAGCATAGTTTCTTTTTATTTTTAAGTATAATTATTATAATTAATCGACTTTTTTAAATTATATGATACAGTTTTTTCTCTTATATATAAAAACAAAGACAATATGTTATAAAGTATATAGTTCACTCCAACGTGAGTGGTGGATCCAATCTAAAAGGGCAGCCTTATAGATCATTCATTTTTTCAATAAGATTATAGATAATTAAATGATTCATGTGATAAAAATTTAATTAGATGTAATTTAAAAATTTTAATTGTCTAAACTATTGTATGATTTCTACTCTATATATTTTAATATTAGATGATAATTATTTTAAAGAGGATAGTTGGGAACTACATACTATATTATTATACTCCTTTCCTTATTGAGAGGATGACAAGTAAGAACCTTGTAAAAATATTAATGTCAAATCAAAAATTTTAATATTGAAATATAGGAGAATAAATATTGAATTTGGAAATGTTAGTGTTGAAAAAAATCTTAATTTAACATTAATGTTCTTATGGGGTCCTTACTTGTTACCCTTTCTTTTAACATTATAGGGCACTTTTTTAAAAGCATACATATAGAAAGTATCTCTAGTCTTTTAAATTGTGATTAGTAAGGTTTTTTTCAAAAATTCATTTAATTAGAAGTTATGATTTTATTAAGTTTTTTTTTTACTTGAGACACCATACTAAATAAAGGTGAACATAAAAAGATATATAGTTTTAAATGTCATTAACTAATTTATTGAAAGTGTGAATTAGCAACAAATGCCTTATAATTTTGTTCGCAGTGTTTCAATGCACAAACATGTTAGAGGCGCGTGTTTTCAAATAGTGCACATGTGCTTCAAAATATTCCCTTTGGTCCTATTTATAGGGTAGAGAAAAAATTTTGTCTTATTTTAAATCACATTAATAAATTTTCATCACAAATACCCCCTTATCCTCCATTGAATGTTAGAGAAAAAAATGTATTGTTAGAATATGTATATTTAATAAGAATAAAATTAAAAATTTGTTAAATTTTTACATAAAATTAATGAGTTTTAAAGTTTTCTTGGATTCCCATGTTAGAAGTAACTTATAAATAAAAGAAGAAGAAAAAAATGAGACAGAATAAACTACGAAAATTATGTAGACCTAGTATTGTTACTATTCTGAAATAAGTTACAAAAATTGTAATATAGAAAAATAAAAGGAAAATGCTAGAGCATCTATGCTGCTATTCATTCATGTGACGTTGTTCTTTTGGTTGCAGGGAACTTGATGCTCACTCATGGATGCATCATGCATATTGATATAAATGAATGAACTATATCTAAATTTGCGACAAAAGAAAGCACACATCTAAGTCTAGGTGGTGATTGATGTGGTGAATTAATTGGAGTTGAAAAGACCTGGTACATGTATAAGTATGCCTTGCTTCCCTTTTTATAGGTAAAAAATAACAATTTCCTCTTAGCTCTACATTTTCTTTTAAGGCCATTTGCTGCAATATTTTTGAACCTCTTCTACTTGCCTTGTTAGAGGACAACTTGTTAAAGGACAAGTCTTCCTATTAACCACATTTTTTATATAAATTTAGCTTGGGTTTGAACCAAAAATTTGATTTTAGCACAAACAATTTAATTCCATCTATTTTAGAAGCTTAAAATAGGCTTGGAACAAAAATTATATTTTAGTCAAAACAAATTCTTAATAAAAAGAAGAGTACATGCTACATACGGAAACATGAAAAGTGGATCCAATCTAAAAGGGTGGCCTTATTGGGAATCTTTGACATCTATGAGAAGGTAAGTAAATATTTAATGGTATTTACTTACTACTCTCTCTAGACAAAAATATAGGGTATTAGTAACTAATTCATGGATGTCAAAAAATGATAGTTGAAACCTTAAATTCTTAAAAAAAAAATTACATCTTTCTAATTTTACCCTCGCTAAATACTTTATATAAGTGCTTTAATAATGATAATTAAAATTTAATATATTATTTTTCAAAAAGAGTAATAAATGAAGTAAATGTATAGTTAAAAAATCAATTATAAAAGTTACCAAATACCCTATATTTTAGACCATGTAAGACTTCAAAAAGATACCATATATTATGATTCAAAAGGACTATAAAAAATTACTAAAATGATAAGCTTTAGTAAAAGTGGAAAAATAAATGAGGCATCCCGAAACCTAGCTAATAATCCAAGAGCAGTTTAATTACATGACTTTTTACTTTCTCTTGGTACTATTCTTGTATGCTACCTCCCTTTTAAATTATAAAATATTTTTGAAAGAAATCATCATTTTAAAATATAAGATATTTTTTAAAAAATTCATAAATGATGTTTTTCTAACATTATCCTTTCTATGATATTCTTTCTTTAATATTTTTTTATAAATAAAGTATTAAATGAAGAATATTTTTAGAAATATATATTTTTACATTGAAAAAACAAAGTTATAAATGTATTTAATGAGTTTTATTAGTATGTGTGATTTTATTTAAAAATACATAATAAATTAAGATGGGGGTATAAAATATAAAATTTATTACAAAATATGTCCTTTTAATTTCTAATGATTAATCTATCGCTGAATCTTAGGTTACACAAAATCATCGAACAACTTGGGTATTGGCATAGAATTACTTAAGACCTACTCTACATCATTTGTGGACTCTCTCAATGATTCCTTGTTTGCAACAACAAATTAAAGAATCATCCCTTTTTTGTTTCCTATGTTTCCTTTCCTCTTGCTTCCTTCCGCTATATGATTCCTCTTCATCCTACTTTCTAACCATTTTTCTTCCTGCATCCATTATCCACGTAATTGATTAATTGTTCCTATTCTCACTTTAAATATTCTTCTTTATTTTATCTCAAGAATTGTAGTGTGTGTTTGGGTTTCTCAAGCGGGGGAAAAATTTGACCTTTCCATCATACACTGTTGGTGAAGTTTCATTTTAATTAAGCTTGACATCATAATTTCATTTGTCAATGTGATAAGTTTGAAATTCATTTTTTGTCTTGTACGTTAAAGGGCTTCAGGTTTTGATTCGACAAGGATCGTAGGTTGACGGGATGATGAAGAGTCAACAGCTAAAGGATATAACATACCAAAAAATAGCATGGACCATCAAAAACTTCAAGACATTGAAGATCAATACCCGACACTACTCTGAGGTTTTCACCATCGGGGATTGTAATTGGTAATTCAAACCTATTTTGTATATGTTCAAATACAATTCCTCATTAAATTGTTTCATCTCCACTTTAGTTCTTATACACAGTGACTGTTTATTCTATGATTTTATATTTATAAATCAATAAAAATTCAATCAAAAAAATCCCATAATTAGTTTATGGCCAAATTATCAAAATAGTTGCATGCATGGGCAACGAAATATAAATTTTTCTTTTGGCGATAATTGTTGCAGGAAAATTGCTGTATACCGAGGAAGACAAGATGGGAAGTTTTTGGCAATATATTTGCATGTAGCTGATGCTTCAAGTTTGTCTCAAGGGTGGAGCATACATGTAGACTTCACCTTTACTGTGGTCAATCAAGTTTCCAGGGAAAAATCTGCAAAAGGAGGTATCATCATTTCATACTTATCTATTCTACATTCCACTAAAACTTGTTCTCAGATCGGTGGTATCATCTTTTAATAATTGAAGTGAGATGGGCTGATCGATCTCATAATAGTCTTTCATTTGAATGCAGATATAAAGCATAAGTTCTGTGCACACGCAGTTAACAGGGGCTTTACATCTTTCATGCCTTTAAGAGTACTTCAGGACCCATCTGGTGGGTTTATTTCCAATGATAAATGTATCATTGAAGTTGAATTTTTTATTGTAAGATCTGAAGGCATCGAGCCTGCAAATCACCCTACTTATCCTTCTTTACCTAAGGAGTCCAACCAAGTTCTTGCAAATGATTCAAAGGTTGATGATGATAATGAGGTTGATTTTAAGGATATAGGACGAATAGAGAAACCATTTGTTCCACTGCTAGAGGAGGTTTGTATGTGGCATCCTTCACTATTGGATTGTAGGAATAATAGAAGTCATAGGTTTACAGAGTGGGCATTTAATGCTTTGGGTCGAGTTCTACAATTTTTGAAGGACAAAAAGTGGAAAGACATGAACGATGAGGGGTGTGAGCAGCTTCAGCGTTTGTGGGAAGAACTTGAGATGAGTAGATTAGATTTGGGTTGGTTGGAACCTGTTATTAAATCTGCTTTAAAGATGAGAGGATATGAGGAGAAGGCAGAGAAAGTGAAGAAGTTGAAGCAAAACTTGTTGGCTTTAGAGATAGAAATGAAGGAGTTGAAAGAAAAGTTGGGTGATTATAAACAAAGTGTTGAAATGATAAGAAAAGATCTGGTGAATGTAGAAGAAGGCTTCGAAGAAAAGGATCTGGATGCAGAAATTGGATATGGAAAACCCTAGTCCTATCTATACATATACGTAAAATAGACCTAAGATATTACATAAAAATTGTAGTATTATAATTTTCTCTTTATGTGTAAAATAACATCCAAGTACGTCCATTTCATGTTTTATGTTTGTCCCTAACTTTCTTGTAATTTTCTTAAAACATATATATTCTTTTAAAATAATAAATAATTATAATATATGATACACACACAAAAAGTAAATTGGGCTAGGGGCCTCTAATGTGCTATTCTCTAATGCTCTTTGTAACACCCCAATTTTTCAATTTTATTTTTAATTTTTCTTTGAATCATTAGCTTGTACATAAAATAAGAGACATTTTAATATCTTGAAGTCCCAAAAAGGTGAATATTTCTTTTTTTATGATTTTTCAAAAATAAAAGGGTATAATTCTAATATTTTTCTTTAAAAAATCATAGAAAATATAAATCTTCATTATTTTAAGATTTTAAGATATCTAAATGTCTCTTATTTTAGATCAAATGCAGTTATCTAAAGAAAAAAACAAAATTGAGAAGTTGAAGCATTACAAAGGGTATTAAAGAAAGGCATATTAGAAGCCATAGCCCTAGTAAATCACACTATATATATAATTATGGATAATATGATTACACAAAAGAATAATTTAAATGCTGAGATCATATATGAATAAAGTTCAATTCATATGTTTTACGTTCACAAAATAAATATTTTTAATGTATGTGAAAAAAAGTAAAACCTATAATAAATTTACATATAACAAAAATGACATGCAATTTATGTCACTCTTTTCTTCAACAATTATGAATATAAAGAGTACAATTTATGAAAAACCTTGATCAGTTGATCCAATTAATAATGGCTTAAGTACTGCATTACAATCGAAAATGACAATAGGAATATTTTAAATTCCCTTATAAATAAACCATGAAGTCATTAATTTCTTCCTATGTAGAAAATTTTGGGTGTATTATGGTTTGGTTCCAAGTGCAAGAGTCTGATAAAACCAAGGGAGAGAAAATATTATTTTCTCTTGTTATTGATCTTAGAGTTTGTGGGCAAAGAACAATTGCCTTAATCGATGCCAAATTTGAATAGACAAGTCATAGCCTACGAGAATAGATAGATTTGCAGAAGCCACCAACCATAAGGTGAGACCTGAGTCTTGAATTTCATATAGCTCGAATGTAAGACTCACTATAGTAAGACCTTTGTCATAGCCTACCAATTGAGAAACACAACAAACTGGAATAAGAAATTAAAGAAAGGAAGGAAGGAAGGAGAAGAAGAAACAGTCACCTCATGCCTTATTGGCAAAGGCGATCTTCGTGCCGATCAAATATTAGGATTTGCTAATCAACAAGTAAAGAATTGCCTAGTACACCTATTATGCATTTGGAATTTGTGATCCTTAAAAATTGTAAAATTAAAGGTTTCTTTAATAATGCAAAGACTATGAACCTAGGTAATACAAGGACAATGAAGCAAAGTAATAATTACATGGTAAATATACAAAATGAATCTTCATGATTCAACAATAAAGGCTTTTAGAAATTATGCATCTCTTGAGAAACCTTTTTAGAGGTTTTTGTAAAAGCAACTATCAAAGAATAGATGAGCTAATTTCCTTATAGATATTTTTTTTTTCATAGACCATAAATTGAAAGCATGAGTTTAGGAATATTCTGACTTTTCTCAATGAGTTTCTATTAGACAACCTTCCATTGAAGAAGATTCCTTAAATATTTGAGGCATTATGAATCAAGTTTTTGACTATTTTAAAAGGCTTTCGATAAATGTCTTCCTCGCTAGGATTAATGTATGTTGTTTGACTATACTTCATGCTACCAGGTATTATATAATGTAGGCTAACATATTTTCGAAACCTTGGAGAAACTCTTACAAATTTCAAAAATTGAAAAGGAAGTATGTGTAAGACGAAAAAAGTCAACAACAAATTTTTTATTACTAAAAGAAAGACAAAGCATGCCTATATGTATTGTGTAATTGAATGAAAAGCAAGATGAGAAAATGTGAACAAAGAAGCCTAATGTTAAGATCAAAATTAGTATAAATTGAGTGGGTTATACTATATTAATTGGAGATTAGGAGTGCATCCTTGATGGGTTAACAAGCCCAAGTCCATAAATCCTTAATCGCGTTGCGTAGGGAAAAAATCAATAATTAGTATTTGCTATAGCCATGGACAGAAAAAATTGAAGAACAAAAAAAAATCCATTTAATGTATTTAAAAAAAAATAAAAAATCATAATTAATTTAAAACTAAAATTTGTTTAATGATGTGAATGAAAAGCAGGATGAGAAAATGTGAACAAAGAAGCTTGATGTTAGGACCGAAATTAATATAAATTGATTGGGTTATACTATGGTAATTGGAGATTAAGAGTGCATCTTTGATGGGTTAACAATCCTAACTCTGTAAATCCTTGATGGCATTGCGCAGGGAAAAAAATCAATAATCGGTGTGTTCTGTAACCGTGGACAGAAAAAATTAAAGAACAAAAAAATAAATCCATTTTATGTATTTAAAGAAAAATGAAAAGTCATAATTAATTTAAAACTAAAATTTGTTTAAAGATGCTTATGTTTATTGTCATTCTTTCTTGAAATCAATAAATATAAAGAATTCAATTTTTTTAAAAAACTTAATCCTATTAATATTGGCTTAAGTGTAACTACGAGGGAAATGATAATAGAAATATTTGTAATTGCAATCACCTCATTAACAAGGCTACCTTTCTTTTAGTGTAAGGTCCTGAGCTCAAACCTTATATTAGTATGTGTGCGTGAGTTATAAATTTAGAATTGATTCATTTTCTTTTTTTAAAAAAATTGCCTTTCAAATTATCTTTGAGATAATATATTATTTTTTCATAGAAATACTTTACTTTTTTTGCTATGAAAAGCAATTTGGTTTCATACAGACTTTATTTGGTTATTTATACTAGTGTGGAATCTTGGGTTATGCAAGTCAATGTACAACATTGGCATTGGTAAAGAATTACCTAGTACTTACTCTGCATTTAGAATTTCTGAGTCTCAAGAATAATGACATGCATCTTGGAATCTCTTCCCTATATGCAACAAGAAAGGAACATCCATTTTCTTGTTTCTCATGCTCTATTTCCTTCCTTGTTTTCATCCCTTTATATTTTCTCTTCCTCCGACTTGCAATGCATTTTTCTTTTACCATATTCACTATGTGCCTTGACATGTTAGTTTAAATCATACTCACCCTTTAGCTTGTGTGAATTAATTTCTAAGTTTTTGATAATTATGATGCTATTTTTTAGTATTCTATATGTCAATTAAGGTACTTGTAGATTTTATTATATACAGGCATCATTCATCAGTGAATGATCTGATGAAGAGTCAAGAGCTAAAGGATATAACATGCAAGAAAATAGCATGGACTATCAGCAACTTCAGTTCATTGAAGACTAATACTCTACACATTTCTGAGGTTTTCATTATCGGTAGTTGTGCTGGTATATTCACTTGACTGCTTAATCTTTTTTAATCACTTAATTTATTGGTAATTAAGCATGTGATATTAAAAGGTTAATCCAAATCGATGAAGTTGCATATGTCCAATATGTAATGAATATCTAAATAAAATTATGGCAGGCAACTTACTATAAATAGAGGAAGAGCAGATGGGAAGTCATTGGCTATATATTTGGAAGTAGCTGATGCTTCTAGTTTGCCTCAAGGCTGGAGTATACATGCAGCCTTCAGGTTAACCGTGGTCAATCATATTTCTAAAACAAAATCTATAATAAAAGGAGGTATCATTTCTCGCAAAAATAAATCTTCTAAAATTGAGAATCCATGAATTTCATGAAATTAAGATGATTTCATGTTTCATAAAAGATAAGAAAATGAAAAAAATATAAAGAAAAAAAACTCCATATAAATTCATTGATATGAACTTTAGTTTGCTTCCATTTATCGTGTTTTCATTTTTAAAGTCCTTTCTTATGTTTCAAGATGTTAAATCATATTTGAGTGAATAACATGCATATGAAGCAGATAAGTTTTTTGCAAATAGTGGTGGTTGGGGCTACCATATTTTCATGCCACTAAGTCAACTTCAAGACCTATCTAGTAGTTATATTTCTAATGACAAATGTATTGTTGAAGTTGAGATTTTTTCGGTGACATTTGAAGGCACTGAGCCTACAAGTCGCCCAACATATCCTTCCTTATCCAAGGAACCTAAAGATATGAACTAAAAAGATGAAGATGTTATGGTTGATTTCAAGGATGTGGGAAAAATAGAGAAACCACTTATTCCATTATTAGAGCAAGTATGTTCGTGGCATCCTTCATTACTGGACTATAAAAGGAACAAGAATCATAGGTTTACAGAGTGGGCATTTACTGCATTGGGTCGAGTTATACAATTTCTCGAGAACAAGAAGTGGAGAGATATGAATGAGGAGGCATGTGAGCAGCTTCAGTATTTATGGGAGGAACTTGAGATAAGTAGATTAGACTTGAGGTGGCTGGAGCCTCTTGTTAATTATGCTTTAAATATGAGAGGATATGCTGAGAAGGTAGAGAAAGTGAACAAGTTGAAGCAACACTAGGGGATTCTGGAAACAAAAATGAACAAGATAAAGGAAAAGCTAGTTAGCACAGAATAGAGCATTGAGATGATAAGAAAAGAATTAGTAAATGTAGAAGCAAACTTCGAAGAGAAGGATTTAGAAGCAAATGTTGGATATAGACAACCCTAGTCCTATACATGGATAATGCAACAGAAGGATCTTAGATATATGCATCGTGTATTGTGAAATACCATAAAAAATTCCAATAATAAAATGTTGTATATATTAAAAATGAAGAGTTTAAAATATGTCATTATTATTGATTTAGACTAAATATTGAAATAGGAAGTAGAGAAAAAGTCGAGGAGAAAAGAAATCAAAGAGAAGGAAAAACCAATTGTAAGGTGATTGGAATTATTGTGATAATGTTAAATTATTGGTAATTTTAATTAACATGGTTAAGAATGTTAAAAAATTTACTTTTGGTTATTAAGATTTGTCTCACCCCTCATTTAACATTTTTCAAGTGATAGCTCTAATATTGTAGGGAAGGTACCCAAGCGATGACCCCCCTTTCCCTGATACAGATCACATCTCCCTTATTCCATATACTATATGTGCTATAAATTGGGAGTTAATTGTACAAATGTCAAGTGTTAGGTTTTGATATATTCAGCTGACTTTTAAAATTATGCAATATCCCTTAATTCTAATAAATTGTGTTTTTGGACTCATTATTAGCATTGGATACTGTATTATAATTGGGTTGAATGTTGTGATGTTATTTTATAGATTGTTTTGTTATCTTTAAGGTTGTGTTAGGCCTCAAAGGTGGAAGCCCCCTCCACTAGCTTAGGCTATACTATTTATTTATGTGGTGGATTCCTTGAGGCAAGATCCTGGGTAAGTCTTTGAAAAATATGAAATTTTATTTTATAAATTGTTATATGGAATTATGAATCAAGAGTATTGCACACATCGCAAGAGACAAGATTTGAAGTTTGTGAAAATCCTAGTCTCCATTTGGGTTTCAAATTAAAGGTTTGAAGGTTTCAAGGTTAAAATTCTTTTTTCTAGGAATTTGGTTTTCAAAATATTGATTAGTGTTGGATGAAGCTTCATGCTCTTTGGATTTTTTATTTGTTTATTTATTGTAAAATGTGAATATGAATTTATTTTACTGTAAATGTCAATCGTTGGTTGTGAATTTGAAACTTTTTAATTTAAAATGATATACACCTCTATGGAATTTGCAATTTCCAAATCTTCCTCTAGATAAGTTCTCCACTCATGCCATCCTGTTAAAGATGATTATAGGCTGATTTGACTGAGAATAAACCATTTCTCTCCTTACGCCACCTCACATCATCACGACCATTGACAATCTTCATCCCCTCATAAACCTTATCCTAAGTTTTTTTAATTCCATACTAGATATTTAATCCAATCCTTTTCACATCAATTTCAGGGATTAAATCATTTTCACAATTATATTTATTTCTAACCGCCTTTACTCAAAAATCATCCCTCCTTTTTGTTAAATTCCAACCAAGCTTCATTAATAAGGACTGATTCTGCAGTTGAGCTTGGCAAAGCCCAAGACCACCTCTATCCTTTAGCTTACAAACCTCATTCCAAGTAACAAGAGGAATTCAACAACGCTCCCCTATATTACCCCAACAAAAGTGATGGTTACCTCTATCCAAGTCATCACATGTACTAACTAGTAAACATGTCATTTGCATTAAGTAGCTAGGAATAGCGCTTGTTATCGATGAAATAAGAGTACTGTGAATAACAAGAGATAAAGAGTTTACTTTTCAATTATCCAATTTAGGCTTGACTTTATCTACTACCCCTTAAAAGTCTTCTTTCCAACTCTTTGAAGATGAAGGGGTACTCTCAGATATTTGCCAAGATCACCTGTTTGCATAAACCATAAGGTAGTGCTTAATTCATGACACTTTATAATTATATGATTGACATTAGAGGAGAAAAACACTCTAGTTAGACTTATTCTCATGAGGTGCATTAGTTTCCAACTCTCATTTTCTGTGTTTATCTGAATAAGATGCGTTAGTTTCTCCATGCAAATCACAAACATATAAGCAAATATCGATTCCTTGGCAAACTCCCTTAAAAGTCGCAAAAGTTTCAGCCTTCTCACCATTCTAAAGCAATTGCAAACTTGTTATAGATATGCAACAATTGATGAGATTAATATACTGGGGTGGAAGCATGAATTCCTATAAACAACTTTTAAGAAAACCCCAATTTACTCTATTACAGGCCTTCACAAAATTAATTTTGATAGCCATAAAATCTTGCTTCCTTTTTATATTCCTCATCGAGTGAATAGCCTCTTGAGCCACAAAGATTTTATATGTATTATGTTGACTTGGGACAAAACTGCATTGATTCAGTGAGACAATAAGTGGCAAAATTAGTTTCAACAAATTCGTGACAATTTTTGTGACCAATTTATAAATAATATTACAAAGGCTAATAGATCAGAGATCTTTGAAAGTCTTCGGTGGATCCTTCTTAAGTATAAGAACAAGTAGTGTATTGTTCACCTCTTTAATCTTATGAGGATCCGAAAAAATATCTTTCACTATCTTGACCATCGCAACTTGCACCATGTTCCACTGATTTTGGAAGAAAAGGGCGTTAAACCCATTTGGGCTCATGGCTTTTAAAGGTCTCATACTAAAGAGAGCCTCTTTAATCTCCTCTTTTTCTGCATCTCTTCCATAAATCCATAAGAAAGCCTCATCCACCATAGGAAAAGAATGACTACAATCCAGAGTTGTTCTGGTCATATTATCATTTACAAATAAATTAGCAAAGTATGAAGTTACACAATGCTTAATTTCTTCAGAATTATATAACTACGTTTGGCATAGATTTATATTTTAGCTCAACTATCAATGTGTAAAAGTAATCAAACATTTTGTCATTTCAAAATTTAAAAATACTAAATCTATCTATTGGCTGATTTGATCCTAGATTTAATTATGCCCTTGGGGAAATAAACTAACAATGGAAGGAAGCAGAAATCAGAAATTTGTGGACAGAATGCCGAATATCTAGTTATTTTTATTTTTCAAAATTAATTTTTCTTCCTCTTTCTCTTTGAATTATATTAAATGGAATTGATTGTTTTATATGAGATCATTGAAGTAAATTAGTCGAAATTTTCTACAAACACAGTAAAACCAACGATTATCGGTTCATTATAAATTATGCTCTTTCCTCCTATCGGTAAAATAAAATTATTTTCTTCTCATGATTTGAAAATAAGGTTGGAGAAATGTCATGGAGCAAACCATGACAATTTTTTGCTAACATAGATCACCGCGTTATGATTTTGGATGACATGTGAATTAATGGAAAACATTAATTATTTTTGCTATGGTAAAAAAGGCTAAAGGACTAACTTTAAAAAAAGGGAAAGTTTAGAGTCATGATTGATAATAAACAAATGGCAAAAACTAAATAAATAACTGAAGAAAAATCTAGGCCGGGGAGGATCCATTTTTCTAGTCATCATCACTGTTATTTTTAGCAATAATTTATTATCATGCGGCAATCAAACTATCAATTAAAAATATTGTACAATATTCAACTGTTTAATCTGTTAGGCTAGCAATTGACAACTCAATCTTAAATTATATTAATAATATTAAATTATTAATAAATATAAATAGTAATAGTCGAGAGGGCAAGGTGAGGGTCCTTTGTTCAGAGTAGGGGCTTTTGTTATGTCCTAGGTCTAGGTGTAACACGTTTTCAGCCATCCCCCGTTGATAATTCATCCGGGGCGATAATCGAGTTTGGTAACGCCTACAGCGACTAAACATACATCTCGGTTATGACCCCTCCACGTGCACATAACCCGCGTCGCCAATGAAACACCGAAAATTATAGGACGCAATTCAGTGCATCGGGCTGTGCTGTATACTTGTCCGTCTTCCCTTGAAATGTAACAAATTGGTGAATTACTATTGGAATTGCAGTATCTGTTTTCAGACTTGGCTTCTCTCTATTTTCCGCTTTCTTCATTTTCTCTTTACTTGTTGGCCAAAAAAAATAAGAACTCTTTACTTTCTATGTTAAACATTGGATTTATTTTTAAATGATTGTAATTAATGTTTCATAAAATTAATTAATTGGCAATTTCTCTTTCCCCGCGTCTCATGCTCGACTCGATCACTATAATTCCCAAACCAACCCCTCCTCAGTCCTCTCTCTTATTGGGAGGAGAGAACGACTTTTTCCTCTCCGTACTCGCTCTCTGGTCTCGTGTTTGGGTTTTTATCGACTGCTCATGGATCTTGAGGTGGCTGATTGCGTCCCTGAAAATCCTGTAAATTCAGGGACGGCGAAGAGACGCAAACATGAAGAGGTACTCTTTTCTAAATTATTCCATAGATGGTTTGAATTCTTCCTTGCGTTTTTGTTTGTGTTTCGGTGGAATTATATTTTCCCTAGCTAGATATGATCAAATCTGCCCTTAAACCGACACATTATTGATCAATTTTGATTATTTTCGGTTTTGACTTTGATTCGCCTGCTTTCAATTTTAGCCTTCTTTGGTGATCGTTTAAACTGCTTAAAGTGTGCTACTGCTTGAGTTTTTTTTTTTTTTTAATTTTAAAAATTGGGTTGGAGTTTGTAGTTCACTTACTGTCGATGTTTCCCCTTTTTATAAATAGTTTCTTTTCTTTTTCATTAATAGATTGGCTTTCACGTTTTGGGTTAATTGAGAGCCATGCTTGATTTGATTTCTCCTTGCTGCCGTGCATAATGGTATTGTTGTCAAGTTTATGTTGGCAAGAACAATGTCAGTGGCTTTGCCGAACCTTGTCAGGCGATTCGTCCTTCCCTACTTGTGTGGGTTTTGTTGGTTTGGTCTTCCAGTGCTTTGTCTCTTAGATTTTAGAAAAGGAGAAAAAAACTGCTGGAATCAAGTAGTGTGCCACACTTGCCTCTCATGTCCCAGGCTCCCCTTTCTCTTCCATAAAAAGGATCGGCAAATAGCTGGTTTGAAAAATTGTTAGTGTGATAAATGATTTCATACCTGGAAATTTTTGTACAAGCTGTTGCCTTTTTCCTGTGAAGATTCATTAAGACTGGGCAGTCAATTGAAGTGTTAACTGCAAGTCAGCTTAATTCTAGATTTGATAATGCGTGCTGAATCTTTAGTTTCCTTTTAAATTAGCAGTACGGATCTTAATTTGCTCCTCAAAGCAATGAGTGTCAGCTTGATGATCATCAGTTGTAACTGAGCCATATTACTAATCAAAGTTCTGTATTAAGGTGTCATAAAGTGGCTAAATCTTCATAATATGGCAATACTAAGGTTTAGGAGTAGGAAAATGTTTGAGCAAAGCAAGCTTACTTGGAATGTAACCAATAACCAATGCTTAATTGCAGCACTGGGTCTCATGCAGCAGGCTGTTGCTCAGCTGCACTTGTATACTTTACAACCCTATTAGTAGGTCTGACTTAAAAATTAACAGTAAGAGAAATTATTAATATTTTTATCCATGCATGGGTATCTGCCTTTTCAGCTAATCGAAATCAGTTTCTGGAGTGGAAATATCAAGCTATACAATATTATTTTGCTGGATGAACAATGATGAATCCATTTTCTTGACATGATTTTTTGATTTATAAAGGTCTTTAAGTTTGATCTTTACTTTCCACAGGATGCTTCTATAAGCGATCATGGAAATTCTGTGACTGTGGGAGAATCATCGGGAAGTGGTGATATTTCCAAGAGTTCCATGTCCTCAAATAATGTTAATAGTCCCAATTCTGATTTTTCTTATCAGGATGAAAATGATGGAATGAATGATGATGATGATGATGTTGATGCTGATGATGATGTGGATGAGGATAATACCTATGATTTTTACGACAACAATGACTTTACATATGAAGATGATTACACAAGTATGCAGGATCAGTTTGACAGTGTGGATTTACCTCCCGGGGTAGAGGCATCACTGCCATGGTTGAAGGATTTTGATTCAAATGTATCCAAGCACGACATTGCTATGGGCAACACAGAGTCCAGTTCTAAGGGTAAAAGAAAAGAAACTGAAGATGCCATCATTCAAAAGTCCCAACAATTTAAGCAATTTGATACTGTTGATTCTTTTCAGGATCATTTCTTTGATAAAGAAGGCTCTTCAGAGCACCAGGTATCATATATTAGAAACTTGTCAAAATCTCACTCCTTTTGACTTATGTTTAAACTCATTTTATTAAACAGAATCCTGTTCTGTTGACAGCAATCAAAGAATTGGGCAAAAAAAATCCAGGAGGAGTGGAAAATTTTGGAGGAAAACTTGCCAGGTGAATTTTCACCTTGTTCGTTTCTTTTTTCCTCCTTATCCTTTTTAAGAATGTGTATGCCTTGCTATTATAACCATGGGTTCTGATAATTTTTCAAGGGTTTTGTTCCCTTCCATTGTTCCTGTTTTGCTTGTTTGGGATACATTATAATTATATAATCATCACGCAATGTCATTTATGTCTTTCTTACTATTTCTATTAATTTGCTTTGTTATGAAATTTAACCTTTTATGGAAATTGGTTTTTATCCTTTGACTTTTAATCATCTTTGATTTTGTCTGCATCTCACGATCTTGTATGTGCAGAAACTATTTTTGTGCGAGTTTGTGAATCGAGGATGGAGCTTCTAAGGGCTGTCATTATTGGACCTTCTGGCACCCCGTACCATGATGGCCTTTTCTTTTTCGATTGCCTCTTTCCTTTATCTTACCCTGCAGATCCACCTGTAAGTATCGCTTATATTCCACTTGTTTTGGAATGTGTCTTGTGCTGCAGATGTCTGAAATTGGGCTTAACTTTTGCAGAAGGTGCAGTACTACTCAGGTGGCCTAAGGATAAATCCAAATTTATATGAGTGCGGAAAAGTCTGCCTCAGTCTTTTGGGCACTTGGCGTGGTAAGAGTAGTGAAAACTGGATACCAGACAAATCAACCATGCTTCAAGTTCTGGTTTCTATACAAGCTCTGATTCTGAATGAGAAGCCCTTCTTTAATGAGCCCGGTTATTCATCAGCCTTTGTTGGTTCAGTGGGGGAGAGAAAATCCAAGGAGTACAACGAGAATACATTCATCTTGTCCTTGAAGACAATGATGTATACACTGCGAAAACCTCCAGAGGTTTGTTGGCTACAATGATTTATCATCTATTCTCTCTTTGTTCCTCAAATTATAAGTATGGCGGATTTAGTGAGCTTTATGGCGGGAATCTAGACAAACCTCTACGCCCAATGTATGTCATGATGTGGATGTGGTAGGAACTTGAACCCTGAATGATAATCTCATTTTGTTCTCTTCTGTGTTCTGCAGCACTTTGAGGGGTTCGTCGCTGGGCACTTTCAAAACCGAGCCACTAACATACTGTCGGCATGTAAATCATATGTGGATGGCAATGCAGTCGGCTCAGTTGCACATAATTTAGATCAAAGTAGAAAAAGTACGACAGATAACAGCAAAAGTGAATTTCAGTCAGCTGTGAGTAGGATGATGAACACCCTTATTGCATTTTTCACAAGAAATGGCTCTACAGACTGTGAGGAGTTTCGAATTCCTGAGATCTATGATTCAACATCTCAGGGTCTGGCAAATCTAGATACTTAACAGCAGCAAAAGCACAGCAGAATCAACAAAACTTGTTGTAAAGTTTCTGGATATTTCTGTTGGGAATGAGGTTTCGGGGGTCTCCTTGCGTTCCTGCTTTTTGTGGCAGATTTGATGAACCAAGAAACTAGTCTTATTAATGTAACACCTAGTTAAAAAAATTGACGTGTTAGCATGGTTTCTGAAAATATCCTTCGGACTTTGAAGGATGGTTTCCGGATATTTTCTCTATGTAAAGATCTGACAGTTTATTATCTTAGCAAACAAAGGTAATCAATTGATATCAATCATCCTAGTTGTACTTAGATTTGACAATTTTTGGGGGTGTTTAAATTTTAGGAATTTCTCCTATCATCCTTATATATGTTTTTTAGAAATTTATTAGTCCTAAATGTAAGGGGTGTGAATAATATTTTTGACGGACCAAACAATTTGGATCTTATCTTGAAAAGTAGATGAGGTATTAATTATGTGCTTTAATTGTGACATTATTAGAGGTAAGGCTGAGAAAAATCATTGTGATTTTGTATAATTTTAATTAAATAATAAATTTTTATTGATGTGTGAGATTTAATTAAAAATATTTTATATATGAGGATGGAAGAAGTGCCTTAATGAGAATTAGGGAGGCTGTTAAACTTCCTTGATTATAAAAGTGCAATTAATGTCAATTCAACTGTCTAAAATTCTGTGATTTTATTTGCTTTTATTCTAAATATCGTCGTGGATATTCCAAAACAACTTGCCGCTGGATCTAGAATGCCTTTTTCTTTAGTCAAACAGGCTGGTTTGGAAAATCTTGTTAATAAATTTGGTGACTTTCTGGCGGAATGTATTGACGAAGTTGTCCTTTCTATGTGTTGTTGTTAATGGTTAATTCTTTTCTTAATAAACATGCATTTTGATGTAGATAAACAACAAAGGATGCTGCATGGCAAGATGATCTTTACAATTATTGTCATTCACTTGTTATTCAGTGTCCTACATCTAGTAGTCTGCTAGTATTCTTAAAATGCTGTGTCTGGAAGCAAACATTTTGCACAAATTACAAGGAAGCATCAGTTGGCATATAAGCTTATGGTGGCTACAGTACAATTTGTTCTACATTTCTGTTATTTGGCTTGTTTTTGACAAGAACTTTCAGATGGTACTTAGATTTGTCACAGAATAGTAAATGATTTAAAACATAAATGGAAACACTAGGTACTATGAGGTATTAGATAAAATCCTATTTTCTATCTAGAAGACCCATTATTCTTTTGTACAAAAGGGCACGCCCCTCACCCTCGTGTGATTATTTTTCAAGTTGAATATAATCTCATTCATCTGTCTTTTTTTTGAAAAAAAAAATAATGATATTAAAATGATTGGCTAATTGTATATTGCTCGAAATTATTGACTGTTAAAATTTCTGTTACATAAAAAATTATTTTTTCAGCACTCTTTATAGTAAGTTACTTTTAGTCAGAAAAATATACGTATTAGCAAAACAAGTAGCCAAGTGGTTCGCCATTGTCGACTATCCATACAGTTAATTGTCGCGAAACCAAAAATAACTTCACCAAGTGGAAGGAAGAAATGAAACAATAACTTATAAATTCATGCAAGGCACCGTTGACGAGACATTTTGAAAAGTTTAAATCATTAAATAAAATTGCTTTTGCTCTCTGCTTCACTTATTCTCGTAACATTCCAGCTAGTTAATTAGTTAGAATGAGATCTGGGCAAAATATTTTCAAAACCCTCACAATTGTAGTTGTAGCTGGAAAAAGTTGTATATTAAATAATAAGAGCCATTTCTAGATCACAATCTTAAAGAATGATAAATAATTCTAATTTTCAACAAATGATGCTTGACATATTATATTTACCTAAAACTTTTTCTACAACCAAATGTTCTAGTCGCTAGTAAAAAGAAGTGAACGATTCAATGATCAAAAAATCTTCCCTAAACAAACTCTTCATGGCAATTAAGAGGAGCATACAAATTCCACGTGTCAAAGGCGAGTCATCACCCAGCAGATCCACATGGCTGCTATTTATTGGCTTAATTTACCCGGATAAGTAAACTATGTCCCCCAAGAATTTCTAGATATACAGCGCAGCTGCAATATACTTGAATCTCAACATCAAAATCCACATTGGCACCTTCCCAAAGAGAATGGTTCTCTGATTCTCACCATACGTACCTGAAACGAAAATATTACAGTTCAGAGAAGAAAAGGGTTTAGAACTGAACTCTCTGCTGAGTGATTATCTTGAGATTCATGACCAAAACTATTCTATTGCCTTCATGAATCTCGAGAAACAATCCGATAGCAGAAAGCTTGATCTCCCAATAGATTAACCCCCAGGTAGCAATTTCTTTTGTACCCTCGGCACACCATTGATGCAAATTCAAATCTTAGAACAGTAGTATTATGTAATTGTAATAAGTGAACTAGCTGTCTAAAAATTCCTTCCAGGATAACCTTTTTAGGATTTTGAACTGATCCATCAGTGCCTTCTTATTCCAATGTGAAAGTTATATCACCCAGGGGACTTGAAAGGACTATGCATACAGATTCATATCCAATCTTGGGCTCTTAGCGTAAAAATCACGCCCCTTATCACCAGCCGCTCATATTTATACTTCATTTTTTTCACTCCATCCATCCACTCATAGAGCGTAAAAATCACGCCCCTTATCACCAGCCGCTCATATTTATACTTCATTTTTTCACTCCATCCATCCACTCATAGAGCGTAAAAATCACGCCCCTTATCACCAGCCGCTCATATTTACACTTCATTCTTTCACTTCATCCATCCACTCATAAAGGGCTATGTTAAAGCCTCCCTCTCTCACGCACGCATGCAAATCCAATTTACATCCCCCTACACTCAATAGAAAATATCCCTAGTAAGACAGTAACAGTCAAGATTGTCACGATAATGGTAGAGATTATAAAAGAAAAGTGGAAGCCCATAAAGGCATGAGCACAACAAAGCATGTATGCAGCCGCAATACATGAAACAAAGTACACTGAACAAAAATGTTCTAAAACCACATGAAAGCATATCTATTCTTATAGGTTTGCAATACCGTAAGTGACACAACATAACCTTGCCTTCTCTATAGTGCAACTTGTTATCTGCCTTCTAATATTCCCTATACATACATAACTGAGTATGGGAGCTAAATTGGATGCCTAGTTATAATATTGCTTCAGAATTGAATGTTTACTTACTCATTTTGTCTTGGATTTCGGCAGTCTCTTGCTTACAACATTCAGAGAGAGAAAAGTATTTCATTCCAACACTCATCTGTTTTCAAGTTTTGCTTGAAGGTCTGGTTCTTGAAGTTTATATAGAAGTTAAACATAGAATCATCACCTTTTTCTGATTTCACTTATAGTTCAGTCAAAAGGGAGTCGTACAGCAGAAGGGTAATTGGAGAATATATTCTTCCTTAGTTCCTTTTGGTAGGAATCTGTTAACCTAACTGATCCGAAGTTTGTTCTTCCTTTGAGTTTAGAGACTTCATGCCTCATGTGCAATTTATTAAAGTGAAACATTACATACTGTAAATCATAAAAGTATTGCAATTAAAATTAGCATGGATTACCCAACTCACCTAAACTTTTTTTCTTAAAAAAAAAATTATCATGGATTAATAGATATTTATCTCTCCAAGACATAAAAGTACATACAACAACAACAACAACAAGCCTTTATCCCACTATACATAAAAGTACATACATGTTAAGAAATAAGAGATGATTGCATGTGCACGGACAACTTAGTAAAATAATCGGAAAGAATTTATAAGTGAAGTATGCTACCTCTTGAGGAATTCATTGGCATATCGCGACCAGTTGTAGAGTACAAACCACAGAAGTACAATCACCAAAATATCTGGAAAAAATTCAGGAAGTCACAAGTACAAAGCCCAGCTAGCAGGATCGCTTATGAGCTCAGGAAAATCTTCAACTTCTTTGTAAAAGAAAAGATCTCTTAACTTGTATTGGCTGTCCAAATAGTTAAAATGCAGAACAGACTAATTAAAAAGCTACTGATGCCAAGTCCCATTTGGTTACTAGAAAGGATTGAAATGAAATAGAATGAAAAAATAAATATAAAAATAAGATGATAAAAAGAAAAAGGTGAACTACATTCGTAAAAGAGAGGGATGATTAGTTCATGAGATTGGGAATCATGATTCATAAAATTTTTAAAAGGTGTGATGATTTTCACATTTGTGATATATATTAATAAGTTTTGTCATGCTTATCATAAGAAGAAAGGGTGATTTAGTTCATTTTTACTTTGATTTTTTCAATTCATTTCATTCTAGTAACCAGGCAGGACCTTAGTTTCACAATTTCAGGCAATCCCATACCTAGGAATAATCAAAACTTGGTATTTTGTATAATTTAAGTTTCATGTACATAAACCATTAAGCAATGAACATAATGAGCTTGTAATTTATAGAATCATCACATTCGAGTCTGCTCCACCAGTGCAAAATGATCTATTTTTGGAGTTGTGAAATTACGAAACAAAAACTATGTTTAGCAGATTACGAAACAACAACTATGTTTAGCAGTAAAGAAAGAATAGAGGATACTAAAAAGACAACGCTCCCACCAGTCTAGCATATAAAGGCCAAAAGTTACATTGTAGAGGTAGATCTTGCGCTGAACCCAATTCATATCTTTCAAGGCTGTGAAAAGAAGTGAAGGTAGATTCAAGCTAGCTTCTTTAATGGAACAACTCAAAATTAATGGAAGTAACAAAATTCAGACCACATACGCAGAAGCAGCTCGACGGAAGATCAGAAAAGGGGTCAAGCGACAGAGGGAGGCACGTCCAACAACCACGACCTTGGCCTGAACGATGTCATTCGGCAATTGGTTTATTTTTCCAGGAAACAACGGACAGCACAATAAAATGGCGAGCAGAAATTGATATCAGCAAACGAGAGAAAAGAACACTACAAAACTGAATTTGGTTGGAGAAAGAAGGAATTGTGCAGCATGAGAGAAAATAAACAACTGAAACAGGGCGAAAAAAGATGAAATATAACATGGGCATAGAGGAAAGACGAAAGAGAATATGTAGAATTGAGAATGGAAGAAAGAGGAAGGCTCGGATTTACCTGGTTCTGCTCCAGAAGTACCCGGATCAGCTGCGTTCTACTATTCGTGAATTCGACGACGCAACCTTTGTTCCCTCCAAATTTAATAGTCAATGCAATGCCAATGGTTGCTGCAGCGTGGGCTTTTCCCAACTTTTCCATGCCACCTACCTATTTCCTTGTTCGTGCGCATTGGGCTCGACCTATCTGCCAATTTTGCACCAAGTTCACAATAAACAAAACCATCCATTTGGAAATTGCGCCCATTCATTTTATTTTTTTTAAAGTAGAATTAAGCCATCAAGAGTTATACTGTGAGGTAGTGAAAACATTCATGGCAGAATTCAAACCTATCAATACGGAGCCGTATCTGTATCCAACGGAAGCAAATTTTATTGTTAAGTCGGGCCACTTCATTCATATTGTTGTTGGTGATTCAAATGAATAGGCTTCATAGACTGTTCCAAGGCCTGCTAATTTGGGGGACATATTGGGCCAGGCCTCTTGAGAAGCTACGTTTCGGGCCTCTGATTGTGCAATGTGCTAAAAGCATCAAGCGAACTCCAACACTTGTATTGATCTTTAACGGAATAAATTAGCGATATGAAACATATAATGACATTTTATAATTTTAACTATTTATATATTTGTGTTATTGTAATGACATTTTATGTTCATTATTTGCATGAACAAATAATAATAAATAGGGAGTAAGATATGAGAGATGATGTTGAGAAAGCAGAGAAAATGGGGGAAAACGTGCGTGATAATGAATATAAAAAATAAAATAAATAAAAAAGGTGAGAACGGGAGACGATGGAGACATATAAAATGAATAGGGGGGCCCAGAGAGGAGGAAAGAGGAGGAGAGGGAGAACGGAAGCTTTCACTTTCTTGAAGGAGGAAGATGCAGAGAACTTGACCAAACACACCCCACCAATAATGCTGCTTACGTGGCCCCCCCTTCCGGTCTCTCACTTTCTCGCTCCAACCATCCCCATCTTCTATTTTTTAACACACACACACACATTCTATCTTTTCTTTTTCAATTGAGTAACTAAATCAACTAAATTTTTCCCTCAAATTTAATCAATGAAATCGTTTTAAAGATTTTTAGAGATTAATACAAAATCAAAAAAAATTTATATATTTTTAGCACTAGAAAGAAAAAATAAATATGGAAATTAAAAACTTAAATTATGATAATATCATTAGTTGTCATCCCCTTTTTCTCAATAAAATGGTAATGGGGAGATAATAAAGGCAGTAATGGAATCTTTGAAAGGCACATGATGGTCGTTGTTGGAACATCTAATGGTCCAAGGTCTCATTCCATTGGCGAGCCATATTGATCCACCTTTCTTTTTCTTTCAACCAAGAAGACGTGGACATACAAATAAATAAATAATTCTTATAAAGCCATCTATTATTTCACTCCGCGCTTTTCCAGAGCCCGTAATGCAGGTTTGATTGGGACTCATTTAAATGGAGGCCTTTTTTTTTAAGTCCGCATCGTATTGCCTGAACCTGTCATGGTTAGTCCGTTTTCTAGCTCTATCTCCTCACGGAAAATTCCTATACGTGTGAATTGTGATATGTCTAACCATATGCTGGGTTGATCCCCCACTACGTACGTACTACACTATATTTATCCATAGATTGATATTTCCATATATATGACCATATTCCTATCAATAATTTTGTTGGTGCTTAATTAGCTACAAATATAACATTCATGGGCACACATCATAATGAATGTGTTGGTTGGGCAGTAATTGTGTAAAGAATTAACCACAGTCGGGCATTATCCGGAGACAACAAACTGAAGGTGAAATGATGAGGGGGCCGGGCTCATGAGGTGGTGGGATCGAGCCTGGGTACGAGTGCATGAACCTTTTTACTTTCCGGGAAAGCTCCGCTTTGCTTTCTCAGGAAAATGATTGAGTGATCTCAACTTTCAAGTGCTACGTTGCTTTCTTTCAAATGCATTAATCTCGCCTCGCTCTTCATTACCAAGTAAACTCTGCATCTAACTCTTTTACTTATCATCCTCTCCCTCGTCTGTAGCCTCATCCTCATCCGATCCCCTACAAGTTCCACGTGCGACTCACACACAGGTATACTCCTACTTACGTGCTTCATACAATCTATAATAATTCATTTGTTGCTTTCATCACGTGCTAATTAATTAGCTTACTTTCGCATTAATCAACATCAATTACCTTCTTCCTGCATGCTTCCTACGCACAGTTACGGTCTTCCTATTTTTTTTATGCTTTCGCGTGTTTTTCCTCCGTGATCCACAGGATTTAATGATTTTTCATTTTCAGCCATTCTGTATATTTCCACGTAAAATTTTATGGACAGTGCTTCTGTGCTTGTGCATGTGTATAAATATAATATTAAAAAAAAACAAGTTCGCCATACTCTTTGGTACGAAGTTACCAATCAGTGTTTAATTAATATAAATTTGTTATTTCCGGAATACTTTACGGTCAAAACTGACCAGCTTCTATTTATGGAATGTTGAGGTTCGGAATCATTTGCAGATTATTGTTGACCAGGTGGCATCCCTCTCCTCAAACCACACTCGGTGATTTAAATTTATGGATGCTCTTCATTCTTCAATACAACTAATATGGACGTAAAAGCTAGCCAGCCATCCCTCCTGTTCAATCCTCGCGTAAATCTTTCATATTGAGACATAAAGGGTGCTGGGAAAAAAATGTCGAATTTTTGAGTTGGTCTGTCTTAATTAGGGCTCACCGTTTTGGTAGCTGCTTGTGATGCAGATGGGGTGATTTTGGGTGGGTTTGAACTTGAATTGCGGGAAAGGTTTGAAGGTTGAACGTCTTAATTTAATGTGATGTGCCGAGGATACGCCTACAGAACAAAGGACGACAAATAATTAAGCATCTTTATTAAAATGAAATATGTTTAACCCTTTTCATTATTTGTTTTGTTCCAATTACAAAAATGCGTGCATCCGTAAACAACAATTATATCCCCTTTCAATGCAACCTCTCTAATTTGGACACATCAACGTTCCTGCCACTTGATCGTTTGTGGCAGAGTTTATCCACTTTTTTTCTCTTTTGGGTTTATTGTTGCTAAACTACTCCATGTGTTCTTCTGAACCAAAAAACTGTCAATTCTATTAATATCAAAAAATCAATTACACTCACTAATAAAGAAAGCGGTGAAACCTATAGTACAACCTATGAAAAACAGAAAGCAACAAACCAAAAAAAAACAAAACAACGAACACAACGCCAGAAAAACTCAGCCAATTCCTTTCTTCTTTTAAGATTCAACATTATATTATTGCTACTCAGATCCTTGGCCAGAACAGCAACCAGAGGAGATGGTGGCTCAAAGAGCCATCCTTGTAGTACCATACCCCTTATCACACCAGCTGCAATCCAATGTGCAACAGCATTGCCCTTTTGAGCAACCAAACTGATCGGACAAGCACCATCGTACCTGATAAGCTCAATACATTCCTATACCACATCAAAACACCACCACTCACATCCCTTCACTTCCAAAGCCTTTACCTTGCTAAATAAAACCTGACAATCAATCTCTATATTCACCTTCCCATCACAAAATAAATCTTTCATATGCAAAGCCTCAAGAAGAGCTAAGCTTTCAGACATAAATGCAGATTCAGCCTCAACCATCCTACCAGCACCCCCCAAAAACTGCCCAATATCACTTCTTGCAATCAACCCAATCGCTGCCTTCTTATTCTTAGAGCAATAAGCCTCATCTACATTGATCTTCACACTCCCAACCTCAGGCAAACCCCACTTTATTGCTCTCTCCACACCTTGAGAATTTATTGTCATTTTCTTTTGTCTGTCCAAATTCTGCCACCGTTCATCTACCATACGCAAAGTCCCACACAAGCACCAATCCACATGAATATCCACATGTTCAAAAACAGAGCAACATCTAGATTTCCAGATTGACCAACAAATCGCCGCAATCATAGCAACCACATAATCATTAGTTTCTTTAACAGACAAAAACCAAGCTTCCAGCCAATTATCAAGTCTTGTAACATTCCATTTTCCAACTCTCGGAGATAAAGGAAAGCCAAACCAGGCCTATTTCACCCAAGGACACAAAAATAATAGATGCTCAACAGTCTCAGCATGATTGTTACGTAGTAAACAAATAGGACCACTATCACATTTCCTCTTAAAAAGAGCCTCTTTAGTAGTTACAGCTCCATTAGCTACCCTCCATAAGAAATGAGCAACTTTAGGAGGCAACTTAATGTTTCAAATAGCTTTCCACAATATACCAGAAGGTTTATATGAGATACTCAGATCCTTAATCAATCCAGCATTCAGGTTCTCCAACACCACCCTATACCCACATTTGACAAAATACTCCCCATCCCTACTACCTAACCAAACATATCTGTCATCCCCACCTGAATTTGGAACCCAAACCCTCTGAATCAACTCTTGCTCTTCCATACTTAACCGACTCACATTCCCAGACAGATCCCAAGCACAATTACTTATAAGTTCACTAACCTTCAACTCCTTCACGTCATCCGGCAGATCCCTTTAACTCAATTTAAAGTCTTGAGCAGGAAGCCATTTGTCACAAAACATCTTAACCTACGAACCATTGGAAATTTTCCAACACAACTCATTAGTGAATAGACTTCTTCCTTCCAAAATACTTGACCAAGTCCAAGATGCCTTACTACCCCTCTTAGCATGTATGAGCTCTTTTGTGGGAAAATAAATCCCTTCCAAAATCTTGCACCAATACTCATTAGGATTTTGTAATAACCTCCAAACCGTTTTTTCTAGAAGAGCTTTATTAAAAGTTTCAAAATCCCTAAACCCAACTCCCCCTTCAGCTTTAGGCTTACACAACATACTCCAAGCCTTCCAATGAATTCTCCCTTCCTCCCTTTCTGGCCCCACCAAAATTTAGAAACCATACTCTCCAATTCAGTACATATCTTTCTAGAGAATTTAAAACAAGTCATAGGGAAAATTGGAACTGCATTGGCCACAGCCTTTACCATTACCTCTCTCCCTGCAAAAGATAACAATCTACTCTTCCATCCTTGCAACCTCAAACTCATCTTGTCCTCCACAAAGGTCAATGCTTCAGATTTAGATTTACCCCATATCATAGGTAAACTTAAGTATTTCCCTGGGTCATCAGTTGGCTTAATTCCC